CATTTTCTTGCCTGCTTTAAACAAGTTTTTCGCGATGATTATCAAAAAAAAAAAGAGCAAAAATGTACAATTCATCGTGTTTTATCGACTTTTTTGGGCAAACTTCCTATGAATGAATAAATTTTATATCACTTTTTTAAATTATCCTAGTACAAAAAGCATCCAAAATATCTCATTTGCATTTTAGGCGATTCAGTGCCCCCATAATGCTATCATCACGGGAGTGTAATTTTGCGATGTTATGTTGTTCTTACATCAAAAACATGTATGACTTTCATCGTGAAAACCAGTCAAATAACTTTTCTCATGCTTTGTTTTCAATTTGACTGGTGTATTGTAATATCTGCTCCACGCGTGATAATCAAGCCTAAACTATTTTGATTTATAATATATTTATAAATATAACTTATGTAATATATATGTTTATATATATATAGAAAATCAGTCTACCGAAAAAAATATTTTTTATATCAATAGGTTTTTTTAATAATACAACTGGTAAGCACCATTTCATATTGAGCGATAACGAAATGAACGAGTTTTACCGTTTATTTCAAATAGTAGAACACCAATAAAAGGTTTGTTAAGCTTTTATAGCAATATGATTTTCTTTGATAATTATTATAAAGTTTCTTTGTAAGATTTGTTGTAACGTGATTAAAATTTATTACTGGTATTTTCATATAATTTAAAGCACAAAAAATTGTTTTAATCTTGGCGAGTATTAATAATATATGAAAGAGCTTGGATCATTACTTTTTCAAAGTAAAGGTTGTGATAGGATCTTGATTCATTTCAATAATAATTGATTAAGCAAATTTTTGTTTAGATTTTTCGGTGTTATTACATTTAAATCAGTACTATCTTTTGAACTCGTAAATTTGTTTCTTATTCTTATCATTATGTGTATTGAATTATCATCTAAAGCTGCAATTAAACTAGTGATTATAAGTATCTTATCTATTAAAGTTTTACTAATATTCAATGCATGTGATTGATCATTTCCTAATGGTGTTGGTGCTTATAAACCCACATCAAATTATTTACTTGAATAGCTTATTCTTGCTCCTCCTCTTGCACCAGATGGTGTAAAATATGATTTCATATGGTTGAATTTGAATTGAGTTAATTTACCCTATCATTTCATTTCAATAATAGAATAATTCTTTTTTTTTTAATTTATTGATTTCTGTTTCAAGTTCTTTTACCTTTTTCATGTTAACTACATCATAATCATTTACACCATCACTCAAATTAATATTTTTTATTGTTTACATCTAAACCTTTTTAAAGAATAAAAGGGTATCTAATTGTATAGTAACTGCGTAAATTACGAAATGGTTTTTCATAAACATCATCATAAACATCAATTACTTCACTTTCAACACCAAGAATTACGAAGTAAAATTGCAATTCATTTGGTGTACTTGGTTGTTGGTTATTATTTGTGAATTTTATTGTTAAATTTTCGACATTGCTGTTGTCACGTTTTCAACATGCAATATAAACACTTTCTATAATTTATAATATTTGTTTTATAATCACTTATTGATGATGAATTTCTTTTCATCATTTTTGTTGTAAAAATCAGATCTATTTCTTCATTGATAAACGTTTTATTGTCGCTCATCATCTTTTTTTATTTGTGTTTTGGAAAAGTGTAGATAAGTTTATTCCAAGTTCACCATTATATTTATTATCATTTGTTTTCCAAGCGATATTTCAGCAGTCCTTTTCTTCAATTTATGAATTGAATTATTGTAATCACAATCTTTACATTTAAATCTCTTGTTAACTCCCTATCGGGTTGATTCATGACATATGTATACCATATATCTTCCAAATGTTTATTGTAAATTAAGAGCATGTTTTGTCGCATTAGGATCTTTTGTACCAATAATTTGATTATTATTTAAGTCAGTTGTAATTCCTTCCCACTTCCTTCATTTAATTTATGATCAGAAATATTATGTGCGAGTAAACCATTTTAATAACCCATATAATAACATAAGACAACTTTTTTAGAAGAAGTTTTTTCTCGTGGTTAAAAGAGTAAGGTACACTTGTTGCACTGTTTAATATATCTTGGTCAATTTTATTTTCATTACAAATCATTGATTTTTTTCCACTTGAAGGAAACTCACAAATACAGAAATGTGACCAGAGTATCCTTATATCCTTTGGCGTTTTATAATAAGATTGAGATAGATATATTATTGAGCAATTTTTCATGTGTCTCACCAATAAAGTATTCAGCAAGTGGTCTTCGAATTTTTCCATATATAAAATCATCGAGAATTATTATCCTTTGGTTTCTCACTCATCTACTTTAAACGTATAATTTCATCTTTACTTACTGCAGCAACATTGTATCCTACGTCTCTACTTATTGGATCAAATGTTTCAATTAAGCTTCTATATTTACTTCAAAATTTTTTGAGTACAGATAGATTTTACCATAATAAAGCAATCTGTATCATTTCAAGAAATAGATTGGTTTTACCTGCTTCTGAAGGTGCACATATCAACATTCTGAAACATCTATCTGGCATGAATTTATAATCTGTCTTCTAAAAATTTGTTTCACCTTCTTCTGTACCATAATTATATATTTTCATTAAGTATACATAAAGTTTCAGTTAACCTAAAGTGTGACTTGAAATCGTAGTTATATGTCGATATTTATATTTATTATACAAACTGCGGAGTTGTACAAGGATATCCAGCCAGGAGAAAAGCTGTAATAACACACGTGCAAATTTAAGATGTTTTTTCCGTGTATTTGATGCCGCCAATCAGCTTTTGCCGTTTTAACGAGCAGTTAATAGTTTTGTCTTTTGTCTTTAAATCTAATAATTTTGTTTTTTGCCAAAAACGAGCTCAAACAGTACAAAGTAGTCGCCAAAATTTGGCAGAATGTCTTGAACTTCATTTTCATCATTTCCTGGTAGGCTGCTTCAGTCTATTTAACTCACAACTTCTCGACCAAACAGAAATTTCTGATCTCAGCCCGCACCATATTTGTTTATAATGAAGTGATCTCATTGCGTGAATTTGTCAACTATTATCAACTATCATGAACCATTTGAACGCAAATACAAGACAAGTATGGTGAGTGAAAGTTGAAACTATCATCAACTACCATAACCGTTTTAAAGGGGCTTTAGCGCGAACGCACTTTACGATCATCGATCTTTTTATTTCCATTCATTAAAAAGTCGACTTTTTTTCAGCAAAGGGCTATTTTGTTTATATGATAAACAAAATAATACATGGTTGCTTTTAGTTTTATCTTCGCTGCGCTCACTTGTGAACTGTCAAAATGAAAACTTGAGGAGAAATTCCATATCTATTTGTGACCATATATTATTCTCTAGTTAATTAACGTTTAATTAAAATAAGACACGAATCGTGATGATTTGTTTGATTAAGGTTTTGGGTTGACCACCTAAATAAATAGAATATTACATGAATCTAGATATTGATCTCCCTCTGCTTTATGAAGGTTATAATTACCCTGATTATGTAATTGATGATGATGACAATGATATTTATGATGAAAAAAGAACATTCCACTAACGGAAATTAGACAAGACAGCCACAATTTAAACTCATCACGATAGCTTAAACCTTTTAACTGCGGACCTCGGATTCATATGCTAACTGAATGCTAAATATAGACGAATGATTAACTCGTATTGGACGAACCAAATACTTCAAAACAGCACTTGTAGATTCACAACTTATTATTTTATCACGTACAAAACCACCTTATGTCGCCAACGTCACCGTTTGTGGAAATTATTAAAAAACTGCTCAGGGCTGATATTATTTTGACGAGGTCCGTGAAACAGAAAAATTTTGTATCTTTTTTATTCGTGTAGTTGATAGTTTTTTGGTATTTCGAATAATAACTCTGCTATCCGTTTTTGATGTGGTTGACTTCACATTTAAACAACAGCAAGACTTGAACAGAAAATCGACCTTCTTGGTTTAAAAAGGCGAGTGGTATGGGTTATAAAGGTTAAATTTCTTACCATACCATAAAGGACCCCAATGCCGCCCCTCCAAATGTAATCATGGTTGAAAAGATGCTTGGTGACCAGATTTAGATCTGCATGCAAAAGATTTTTCAGAGATGTAACTTCATCTCATCATGTCGTATCTGAAAACCTAACATGGACTAATGATAGTGATTGATTAGTTACCCACGGTCGTTTCGTACCCACGGTACCATGGCAGGTCACCACGATTCGTATTCAGTCAGTCAAGTCGTTTGGTACCCTTACTAACTTAGTGTGTTTTTCCTATTGAGTGTGTTTAAAATAAGGTCGGTTTCTTATTTCAAATAGCAATATTCTCGCGTTAAATAAGTGTTTTACGCGTGGCGTCCATTTTTGATTAGCAACCACGAAGGAAAGGAATAAAAAAACACACTTACAGTAGCTGTTATCTGAAAAAGTCACTAGTATAAACAATGCACTGTTTTATCAAAAATCGTTTTTGTTAAGAAGATCACAAGTACACTCAAATTAATTTTGCTTGTATCTTATTTGCTTAATTTTGCTGTAAACTTGTCGTGCCAAACAACCGACATCTTTTTACACGTTCTTGCATGAAGTATTTCGAATTAATGTATATTGGGATGGGTACGAATCGATCAACGGTTTGGGTGCGAATCGACTGAGAATAGATAAATGAACATGGCTTGGTGAACCAATATGACCGACTTTGTATCGACTCGATACACCAATATTTCATTTAATTAACTGATATGGTCAGCTTCCTATTATTTGAAAATGGGCCTCAATTTTACTGAATTGATATACCAACATGCCAAACTTCACACTGACTTAATAAACAATTCATTTATCCTTTGTTAATTGAGATGCCGTCAAAGCGTTTTTTTCAATAGTTTAATCCCTACTCTTTTAATTTCTACAGACTGTGGACACCTACCAATTCAGGTTCTCCGGTTTCCCAGCGTCTGACAGGCCAAAATGGCACTGCAGCCATTTCGCAATGAACAGTTGAATTATTTCAAATTCGCTTCCATTGCTCTCAATGAATTCCCCAAGGCTTTACGTCAGACGTTTAAATCTATGTGGGACAACAACTTGAGACATCGTCCCGGTCATCAACCGTGGGATGATTCCGTTGCAGTGAGAAATTTGTTTTTGACTTTTGAGGGTGGCCCTGGAAAAACCAAAGTTCCCACAAACCTCTCCTATGAAGAATGGGATTGTACCAACCTGTTCCAGGCCACCATCTACGCCAATTCCTTTTCTATGCCCGACAGTAGAGGTCATCTCAAGACACTTGGTGAGCTACATGTAAAACCTCGTAAACTGGCTCCTGGAGTATTTCATACGTCCGTGGTGAGCCCAGGAGGGGACAATGCTGAAACTTTCGCCCTCGCCATTGATCAATTGCGACTTCTACGAAATGCACTTTGCCACTCGCACAGTTCTGAAATTGAGAAAACTAAATTTGATCATTACGTGCAGCTCGCTAAAGATGCATTTAAAGCCCTTGGTATCAAGACTGACCATATTAATGTTATTGGTGGTTTAACAGAGTCAGAATTTCCCACAGATGAGGTTCGCAAATTGGAGGAACGTCTAAAAGAAGAATATCGAGCTTGTGTAAGTTTTCTACAACAACAGAATCAGCAACAGCAGCAAAACCTGGAAGGAATGGCTTTAGTTATCGAGGGAATGGATTCAGCTATAAGAGAAATAAAGATTAGAGTGGAAATTATTCCAACAAAAGACGATGTCGCTCAGATAATGGAGCAAAAGATGAAAGATTTGAAACTATCGCCAACTCAGGAAAGGCCAGGTAATATTGATAATAATAATTACAATACAATTCATTAATATTTCTAAAATAGTAATAATGGTAATGACAATGACAATGATGATTATGATTGAAGGATAGAAAGTAGGGACAATTTCCCGCACCTTTTAAGAAGTCCAAATTGTATTTAGTTCAGTTTTACTTTATATTCTAAGATGGTCATGAGAGTTTCACCTGGACTTTCACATATGGAAAAACAAATGAAAGCAAAGGACGTAAAATGCTATTATTTATGCCCCAAAAAACTTTTCTCGTAGTTGTGATGATGTTTTGGGATGTGAGAATGCATTTGAGAAAGAAATCTGCAACTGTGTTAAGGAAAGCCTTAGGCGGGTTCTGAACCTCCAAAAACGAGCAGCTAGAGTGATCCTGAATGCCCCCCCTCTAGCACCATCAGTTCCCTTGTTTAATTGGCGGAAATGGTTGCTTACACCGACGCTTTAATATCTAAATGTATTATTGCTTATAAGCGATAACAAGGTGACTTCCCTGTTTATCTTAACAATCTACTTAAGTTAAACAGTAACATCCTTAGTAGACAAACCAGATACTGTAATTTTAACTTAACCTCTCCGAGGTATAATCGCGAAACAGAAGGAGGCAGAACTTTCACCGTCACAACTTGCTAAGCATGGAACAGTTTATCTTTGCCCCAGTAAGGCAAAGGGATTCAGTGGATTCTATAAAAAAAGCATTGTGGAATGAACTTTTAAAACAACAGCAGAATCTTGGTCATCGTTCTATTTAAGTTACTTGATGAACTGTGACATGATTATAATGTTATATTTTATATTTTAAATAGTTTAGTAGATTCCATAGTATCTGTATTCTTTGGTTTTTTTACCTTGTATTTTTTATAGCTTAGTACTATTTAGTATTTATTAGTATTATATTATTATTATTTATTATTATTATTAGTATTATTTATTAGTATTATTTAGTATTTATTATTTCATAACTTATTTATTATTATTTATATTGTTTATTAGCTCCGGCTATTTCGTGCTAACCTTCATAAAATAAATTCTTTACTAACTTCCTTACTGTACTCTTCTGATTTCCCAGAGGAATACATGTCATCCCTTGAATCTGAAGATGCTGCAGCTGTTCGGTATATTCAGAGGGAGCTTGAAACCCAACTGCTTAGAGGAGAGGACTCAAGGGCGGCTGACAATTACTATTTCCTTGGCATAATGAAACATAAAGCGGGCGATTTTGTCTCCGCTCTTAAGCATTCTGAGCGTTCTCTTGATATAAGACGAAACCTACTCGGTGAAGAACACCCAGATACTGCCAACAGTTACTTTTCCATCGGAGCCACTCAACTTGCCTTAGAAAAACTTCCCTCAGCTCTTCAGTCTGCACAACGTGCACTGGAGATAAGGCAAAAGCTGTTTGGAGAAGAACACCCAAGCACAGCAGACAGTCATTACGAAATAGGGGCCGTTCAACTTTCATTAAACAACTACTCTTCTGCTCTCCAGTCTGCAAAACGTTCGTTAGAGATAAGACAAAAGCTGTTTGGAGAAGAACACCCAGGCACAGCAGACAGTCACTACGAAGTTGGGGCCGTTCAACTTTCATTAAACAACTACTCTTCCGCTCTCCAATCTGCGCAACGTGCGCTAGAGATAAGACAAAAGCTGTTTGGAGAAGAACACCTAAGCACAGTATATAGTCACTTAGCAGTAGGGGTCGTTCAACTCTCGTTAGGAAACTACCCTTCAGCTCTTCAGTCCGCAGAACATGCATTGGAGATAAGCCAAAAGCTGTTTGGAGAGGAACACCAAAGAACCGCAGACAGTTACCTTTTGGTAGGGGCCACTCAACTGAAGTTACATGACTTTTCCTCTGCCCTTCACTCAGCACAACGAGCAATAGAAATTAAAAAAAGGTTTTTCGGGGAAGAACACACAACGATAGCTGACAGTTACCTTTTATTGGGACTTATACAACATGAGCTAGGCGACTCTGCCGCAGCTCTTCAGTCTACAAACAAGGCACTTGACATGGCAAGAAAAATTCAAGGAGAAGAACAACCCAGAATTGCCGACATTTACCATTCGATTGGCGTCTTACAGTACGAGTTAAAGGAAGTTTCCTCCTCTCTTCAGTCGCATCAGTGTGAGCTTGACGTAAGAAGAAAGTTACCTGGAGAAAAACAGTCCAGAATTGCCGACATTTACCATTCGATTGGCGTCTTACAGCGCGAGTTAGGGGACCCTTCTTCCTCTCTTCAGTCGCATCAGTGTGAGCTTGACATAAGACAGAAGTTCCCAGGAGAAGAACAGTCCAGAATTGCTGACATTTACCATTCGATTGGCGTCTTACAGTACGAGTTAAAGGAAGTTTCCTCCTCTCTTTGGTCGCATCAGTGTGAGCTTGACATAAGACAGAAGTTCCCAGGAGAAGAACAGTCCAGAATTGCCGACATTTACCATTCGATTGGCGTCTTACAGCACGAGTTAGGGGACATTCCCTCATGTCTTCAGTCGCATCAGTGTGAGCTTGACATAAGACGAAGGTTACATGGGGACGAATGCTCAGAGGTTGCCGACATTTATCATTCGATTGGCGTCTTACAGCACGAGTTAAAGGACATTCCCTCATGTCTTCAGTCGCATCAGTGTGAGCTTGAAATAAGACGAAAGTTACCCGGAGAAGAACAGTCCAGAATTGCCGACATTTACCATTCGATTGGCGTCTTACAGCACGAGTTAAAGGACATTCCCTCATGTCTTCAGTCGCATCAGTGTGAGCTTGAAATAAGACGAAAGTTACCCGGAGAAAAACAGTCCAGAATTGCCGACATTTACCATTCGATTGGCGTCTTACAGCACGAGTTGAAGGACATTCCCTCATGTCTTCAGTCGCATCAGCGTGAGCTTGATATAAGACGAAAGTTACATGGGGACGAATGTTTGGAAATTGCCGACATTTACCATTCGATTGGCGTCTTACAGCGTGAGTTAGGGGACCTTTCTTCCTCTCTTCAGTCGCATCAGTGTGAGCTTGACATAAGACAGAAGTTCCCAGGAGAAGAACAGTCCAGAATTGCCGACATTAACCATTCGATTGGCGTCTTACAGCACGAGTTAAAGGACATTCCCTCGTGTCTTCAGTCTCATCAGCGTGAGCTTGAAATAAGACTGAAGTTACCCGGAGAAGAACAGTCCAGAATTGCCGACATTTACCATTCGATTGGCGTCTTACAGCACGAGTTAAAGGACTTTCCCTCGTGTCTTCAGTCTCATCAGCGTGAGCTTGACATAAGACGAAAGCTACCTGGAGAAGAACAGTCCAAAATTGCTGACATTTACAACTTGATTGGCGTTTTACAACACAAATTAGGGGACTTTACCTCCGCCCTCGATTCTTTTCAGTTTGCACTCAATATTAGACGCAAGCAATTTGGAGAGGAACACTCCGCCACAGCTCAAAGTTATTTTTCCGTCGGGGACATTCAAATCGTGTTAGGCGACTTCCACTCATCCCTATCATCCAAGGAAAAAGCACTTGAGATTAGACGCAACTTATTTGGAGAAGATGACGCAGTAACTGCTGATAGTTACATTTCGGTCGGAGTCATACATCTTAGGCTTCGGAACTATAGCTTGGCAATTCATTCTCTACAACGTGGTCTTGAAATAAGGCTGAAAGTGTGTGGGGAAGTACACTTAGATACAGCTGAAAGTTACTTTTTACTCGGAAAAACACAAAACGAGTCAGGTGACTTTGACCCAGCTCTTAAGTCTGTACATAGTGCGCTTCATATCCATAGAAAACTGCTCGGGGAGGACGACCGAATTACTGCTTCAAGCTACCACTTACTCGGGGTCATTCAATGTAAGGCGGGTGACTTCAAGTCTGCAATTCAATCATTACAGCGTGAGCTTAGCATCATGCGTGAACTCATCGGAGAAGATAATTCAAGCGTTGCTGACATATACCGCTTAATTGGCATCATACAGGACAAGTTGGGTGACTTTCCGGCTTCCCTTCAGTCGTATCAACGCGAGCTTGACATACGAAGAAAATTACTTGAAGAAAAAGAAGAAGACCCAAGCATTGCGGACAGTTACACAGCAATCGGTTTGGCACAACATGAGTTAGGTGACTTTACTTCGGCTCATCAGTCTGCTCATCGGGCGCTGGAAATCAGAAAAATACTTTTCGGGGATGAACACTCAGACACTGCCGACAGTTACCAATTTCTCGCCGTCGTGAAAGGTGCATTAGGCGACTCTGACTCAGCTCGTCGGCTGGAACAGTGTGCCAATGATATAAGGAAAAGGCTATCCTCGATTTAATGAATCATTAACTCACATATGACAGCTACAATTCATTCCTGGCTGCCAAATGTAAAACTTGTGTGAACCATATGCCCTTAAAATCAGATTGGAACACTGAAAAATAGTCTTTTATCAGCATCTGTACAGGATGCCATGCGACAGTTGACTTTCGCTCATTTCTTGAATCTCCGCAGTGTGATGCAGAGTCGCTAAAACCATAAAGAAAAGCACTCGTCGAGGAATGCTTTGGAGAACAATCATAAGCCTTTGAATAGAGCTTGTGGACCACTTAAGACTGGTTTATCAAAAATACTCAGGTGTATTCAAAACCATTGTCATCCAAAATGCTCTGGAAGTAAAATCATAAAGAAAAGAACCTCAGAGTAAGTACCTTCACATTACAAACTCTGTACACAATGCGCTACACTCAATCGCAGTCTTCTGAGTTTGGTGATTCGCGTGCTCACAGCTAGAAAATTTTTTTTTAGTCATTTTTAACAATTTTTACCAGATATTTCGGAAAATAGTGCTGAAAATGAGTTTAAATAGGAAACCAGTACTTTCTGAAATTACAATAATCTAAGTTTTGTAACTTTGAGTTTAGAAAGATGAGGTGTAAATAGTTTAAGATAAGCCCCACACAAGTATACACAAGAGTAACGAATTTCGCAGGCGAGGAAATTAAGTGGGAGCGCAGATTTATGCATTAACACTGATTTCTTTGGAGCTTCCGGGTTAAATATAATACATAGAGAGCTCTTTTTCAAGAGTTAAAGGGATTCACTCGCGTTTGAATTATTCGCCGAGCGCAAGTAAAATGTTTTCAAGGGATCACACCCTTAATGACAAAGTCGTCTCATAATTTTCTAATTTTGACGAAGTCGTCTCATAATTTTTCAATTTTGACGACTTCTCACAGCTTTCTGTTGCTCTAAAGTATTTATTGCCGTTACTTAACTATTCCTGTATACAAGATCGCTTTTCGGCTGACTGTCGTCAAAATAAAACAAGATTAATTTCTAAAAGTAAACGAGATCACACCCTTAATGACAAAGTCGTCTCATAATTTTCTAATTTTGACGAAGTCGTCTCATAATTTTTCAATTTTGACGACTTCTCACAGCTTTCTGTTGCTCTAAAGTATTTATTGCCGTTACTTAACTATTCCTGTATACAAGATCGCTTTTCGGCTGACTGTCGTCAAAATAAAACAAGATTTATTTCTAAAAGTAAACGACATCTACAGTAACTGTTTCGAAAAGAGCCAACAATAACTCAAAGTGAACGGTACGAGAGAGGAATCGAGTGAGATAGGAACCAACTTAGCATTAGCTTTTGTTTTGTATGTCTTCAAAAAGCGAAACCAACGGTAAACCCATGCTATTGCCTATGCTCGAGCAAGTGAGGTTAGCTAGTAGTTTATAATATGACACTAGTTCGGGACAAACTTATTTATTTTGAATTTGAATAAATAATAATTGAATTTATCTCTGTCAAACAAGGTTTGAAAAAGATTGAATTTTGTTTTGTGATCGTTGTTGTCAAATCGTACACATTAATCTTAATCTTAATCTTTAATCACAGTTCGTAACCATACATCGAACAAAAGTACAAAAATGGTTGACAGGACAGGTTGACATTAAAAGTAAAAAATTGTGTACTCATAAACTACTCATTCAAAGAGGTTCCCTTGGAATTCAGATCCTCCCGAATCTTCTTACTAAGTTCAGTTTCTGTCATCACTTCCGCTCGCCGTTCAAAAAGGCTTGATGGAAATATTCACGCAATTTTCACTCATCGTTAACTCACCACACACCTGATTGACTTAATGTGGCGAGAAACATCCGTGGATTACAGAGCGATGTTCACCGCGAAAAGCGAATTTCCGATAGGGTGTATTTTCTATATCAATACTACTTTATGGATGTTTGAAAAGTAATAGGAGAGATGTCATTAACGATTTACAAAAATTCTTTCGTTTCTGGAACGGAGTGAATTTTTCTAGCTCCGTTGACGAAATGGTGCATTTTGTCTCAGGACACGTCTGAGAAAAAGAAGTCAAACCATGTAGAAACGGCACTGATTGAAAAACATAAATTAGACCACTCAAAAGATTTTTCCCACCCTATAACCAGTGGGAGAAGAAATTGTTTTCGTCTGCGCTTTATTCGAGATGTTACGAAAAGCGGGAATGGGAAATGAGGAATGAGTGTTGTGAAAAGTTTCCACGCAAATATTGATTTTCTAGATTTATTATGACTTTAATTGTGTATTAAGTGAGTTGTGATTTCGTTACCGTTATAGTGCAGAGTTAACTTTACAATTAGAAGTTAACTGTAATTGGGAGCGGCATAGGGTAATCAAATTAATTCTTCGAACAGTGATGTATGAAACTATTTGCAGGGCGTTTAAGTGCGTAGGAACCTAGCAGCTTGATTGTCAAGTAAAGCCATGTTTAATAGGAAATAAGTGCCCACGAATCGTTGTAGAACGTGGGTGAATCTTGAATCCCATACGGAATTACGTATCTGGGTGTGGATTTCATTAGCTAATAAATGTAACATTTTTGTAACCCTAGGATTAGATTGTAATAGGGTAGATAGATCGCAGAACGGAACATGTAATGCTGAATTGTCGTAAATAAAGCCTGAATCAAGAGAAAATATACAGTCCAAGATTACTGAACCAGCGTGTGCGGAATTCTCAGCAACGCAAGTGGGAAATTCTGCGAAAATGGGAAATTGAAAATGAGAAATTGAAAATGGGAAATTAAGTACCTTTTTTAAATTTATTTTTATTATACAGAATAAAAATTTTTCAGCAGCGATTATCGATATCCACGCTTTCTTCTTAGACGTTCAGAGACAACATTTAAAACAAAAGAATAAATAGATGATAACGTAAGAAGTGATAGATGACAACTAAAGAATATTGTAAAAACAAATTTTATTCTTTTCCTTAACAAGAGATAGGTTGATTTAAACTTGTTGAGATGAAAGGGCTATTTGAATGTTCACTTTAAAATGGATAAATTGGAAGGTTTAACGAAGTTAGCCGTTAATTTTTCAGAAACCAAGTCACCTCTCAACTCCGAACGAAAAATGAACCCACAATTGAATGTCCATTTAAGAAAAAGTTTTCATTATGTTTTTCGAAAGTAGTGGAGACTTGCTAAGTAGTAAAATTTCGATCAGAAATTGCCTTACTTTTCAAGCTAGTGGCTGCGGCGTAGCTGAAAAAATCATATCAAAGCATAATTTTACGTTAACGACCATAAGACGCGCCTTCCAGATGATGAATCTATCAGGTTTCGAGTGCTAATTTGCATGAATATCGGTGGCCAGTGTGCAGCAATTCCTGAACTTCCAAAGGAACGAACGAACGAGCGTATTTCCGCGAAAAAATGGAGGCTATTTGTTTATTATCCTTCAAATATTATTTGCGAATTACAGGGAAAAATGTTTATGAACGGTTAACCGTTCATTGCGCGGGATGTTCACTTTCTAGTGTTCACTAATACGATTTTGCAAACAAACATACAAACATGTCCCTTCTTTTTTAATAACCCCAAAATGCTCTCTCATCTTAAATTAGTTTTAAACGAAGACATCGTAATGGACGTAGAACTTGAAGATTAGGGAATATCACTTGGGGTGTGGGTGGATTATGATCCATCAAATATTTTTGCTGCACACGACTGGTCTAAACGCATCACGTTGACAAATATTACCTAGCTGAAACTGGGGGATATCCGAGGATATCACCCATGTGGTACCCCCCAATTTTCAAACCTTACGTCCACTACGATAAGTCTTCGTTTGCAATTTAATTTAAGATGAGAAAATTTATGGTCGTTATAGAAGAAGGGAAAGTTTTGTTTGTTCATAAGGTCGCACCAGAGAAGACACAAAAGAAAACATCCCAAACAGAAAACAATAAACTGTTCGTAATATTTTTTTCACGCGCGTTGTTAAATATTGAAGAATGAGAAACACAATAGCCACTATTTTGCGTGAAAGTTATACTTATATATTTTTCTTGGACATTATCTGTTCCTTGACGCTCACTTCTTTTCATCAATTTATTTGGGTCCTTGACTTTTGCCCTTGAACGTCGTTGAAAGAGAACGTGGATATCGATATAAAATATCTTTTACTCATTATAAACAATAAATCTAAAACAAAAACATTGAAAAAATTCATTTCTTATTTTCAATTTCCCATTCCATTTTCCCATTCTACATTTCCAATCTGCATTTCCCATTCCACATTCTCCATTCCACGTTTTTCGTTCCCCATTCCCGCTTTTAGTAACATCCGATCTATACTGGAAGAAAATAGAGATTCCTCTTGAGCTTGCTCTCGCGTCAAAAATTCGAATGTCAGATAATTATGACTTCGTCATACACGCTTCCAGATCAAGTCCGATCTAATATTTCGGTAACTCTGCAGTTATCAACACCTGCGTTTATAATGCTTCGCTAGTCGAGGCCAGCGAACTCGACAGCAACCCGCTGCTTTATAAGACGATAAACTTTGGAAACTTAAAGATATGTATTTGACATTTCAGTGATAAATACATTATCTTACTGTGGTAGTTATTACAATGTTACTTGTATGATTTCAAATATCAAGTATCATTATCAAATTCAATATTTTTGGCTGTCCTAACTGATACTTGTCAGAATGTCAGAGTGGTTTTGAAAAATTATTCTGAGATTTTACCAAACCAAACAACTATTTGGTTAAAGACTTAGAGGCTCGGTTATTCAAACAAAGTTTAGCCGTTGTTTAACAAAACTGCGTCCCAAACAATCCACAATTGAGCTGGACCTTTTATCTGAATATCTATTTTTTTGAACAGTGTCAAGAGGGCTGAGAGCTAACAGTGGAAGGACATTTATTCATTCCGCAAAACTGTTGATTGGGTTAGACTTCGTAATTAACCGGCCCAGGGCAGTTGTTCCCCTGGCTGTTCAGTGACCAGTATAATTAATTTGACAGAGATTAAACGTTTGCAGTCAATATGCATAAATTTATTCCAATTACTTTGGATTTAGTTCCAAAGTATAAAGTGTATTGTAACAGCGGTTAAGCAAAATAAAGTGAGTTCTCCCGGACTTTCTCTTCTCTCGATCCTGAACTGCAATGACGCAGAGAGGTGTAAAGGACCTTTAACAGAAAAAGAGTGCGGAAAAGCGGCAACGTCAGAAATTATCCTATAGAATGCAAGCGAACTTACGAGCACAAACCAAGCTGCTAAGTTTCCATGACAACCAATTTTCCCGAAAGATCATCAACACTTACAATTATATTTCCAGGGAAAGCATTGGCACTTATGTTTACATGCAGTTTCAACAGAAATGGTCATCAAAGTACCGACATACAGGGGTATAATGAAAGGCAAAGTATTAAAAAAATGAATTGTTGGCAAAAAACTACTGTGGCTTTTCTATATTTTTGAAATACTAGAACGAAAGAACCCGAATAAATCGAAAATGATTAAACATGAAAAGTGTACGTGTAAATATGTTCCAAACAAACACACGGAAAAATCACAAAATTTTCTCCTAATAAAGTGCAAGTTATGCAATAATTGACATTGGCGGAGGTGCACATGAAGTGATCAGTAATCTTGATAGATCTCTTGGGTCCCGATATTTCCTTTACGTTATGAATGAAAGGACAGATTTTGTCTCGCGCGCGAACGCACTTGAAGGTTTTACGTTGGTCATTGGTTTGAAATGAACCTCTGACCACAAAGTTACGTTGCCTGTGTTTTTGCCACGTTTGAATGAGATTAATGGTCCTTACAAAAAGATATTTTCAGTCATTGAATCGTTTTGAAGTAATTTAAAGTTTTTAAGAATGAGAGATTTAAATGCGTAGTTGTGAGGCTGAAATGTGAGAGTGAATGGATTGCGATCGGTATTTCCTTCTGTGCCGTTTGCAGTGCTGACTCTCGATCAATTTGTTGGGTGCGGTGATGGCCTGCTTGAACGACAGAGACAGGATAGCCACGTTTATCGAAAAACTGGCATTGCCTCTGATTACTACATAAACGACGAAGTCTGAGAAACTGTTAAAAAGGTAGGGAATTCTTGACGTGTGATGGATGCTAAGTCGGATGAGTACAATATGTAGCGATGTGAATCTGTAAGTTTTTCAAAAAAACCGTTATCTTCCATAACAGGCACCCCAAGCTCCAGCTTTGGGATGATCATCTTGCGTAATAAGAGTTACGGCGAAAATACGAGTTTGTATGGGAATATTTACAACCGCTCTTAGGAACAAAAAAGAACAGTGAAATTCTCAATAAAAATACTTCATCTTACTTTCTGATGCATTGCTTGTTTTGTGACCGCTTACTTTGTTACAACGAGGCCATTTTAGTGAGTTATCCATTTCTAGGCTTACTACTCCAAAGAGAAGGACCTTCTCTTGGGAGTAGCAAACTTACAAATGGGTAACATGCTCGAATGGCTTCTTTTTAACATAGTAAGCAACATGGTTCTGCGGCTTTCCAAACTGCGTAGGCAAGCGGCAAAACTCTAGAAAAAAATTAGATTTGTGGATTTTAGATAAAAAGTAAATACACGAAGTTCAAGGAGTAGTGGCCGGCAATTTCTGTTTACCTAGAAGATCGGCCTCTTTGATAACTTTGTCTTTGCTTTTTTTTGGACTTTTTTGTGCCGAACACTCTTCCGAAGAAAGGTTGGAAAATTTGGTGTTACGATTGAATTTAAGTTTATTATTATCGTGGCGACATTTTTGGATGAAAAATCTTAAGATGCGAAATGACACTCTGGAGGAGTTCATTAGGATTTTCGAATCTGAAGTGTTTCGAAAGTCTCTTTGTTCGAGATATTAGAACCTTTTTTTTACGACATAGAATATGATGCGAATATCTAAATGGACTCCCCCAGAGGGCCAGTTCGCACCTTTAGATTTTTTCATCAAAAAGTGTCGTCACGCATGAGCATCACATATCGACAGTTTTATCCTCGCAGTACACAAAAAGTTTACCACTAGGGACCTCGTTTCAAGAGCTTACTTACCACAAGTCTCTTACAGTTTAATGGTAGAGCGGCTGAAGTACTGGTGGGAGGGTCGTAGGTATGAGTCCTATAGAGGACACTTGGATTCTTCTTTTTCTCTCTGCGATTCACTGAGTAACATGTTCCTTTACTGAAATCACCAAGGTTAAAAGTGACCATCTTCATTTCATCATCATTGCGTATAAGCATTTTCATAAACTTTGTCCTGTTTACTAGGGGTAGAATTCTAACGAACGAGACTCAATCAACTGTTTTATTCCACTCTCGTATTCGCTTATTTACATCGGGTGTGTAAAAAGGCTACTCTGCAAATTTGCAAGAAATCACTCTCTTATACGATATTCTTTACATTGTGATTGGTTGTTGCCAAGTACTGATTTAAAAGGTCATTCAAGGTTGCGTTGATTATGTAAACCGATCAATGCCCATGATGTTCCCACTCATCATCTGACATGTGTCACCCACGAATCAAAGTCTCCGACAGCATTACATATCGACATTCCTATACTCGCAACATGCAGAAAGTTTTTCACCATGGATTTAGTTAAACGGCGGAGCTTGCGACGAGTCTTCTACAGATTAGTAGTAGAGCGTCCGAAGTGCTACTTGCAGTTGGAAGGTCTTATCGAGAGCACGCAGAGTGCTCTCTTTTGTTCTCCGAGCACGCCTGTGTCACTCAATGAGTAACATCTTCCTAAACCTAGCTCACGAAGCTTAAAATGTACTTTCTCCGTCAAATTCTTAGGTCTTAACGTTTAACAGCGTGAAACGCACTCGGTTCATAGCAGACCACTTGGAAATCTCATCAACTACCATCAGCAACTGCAACTGACTACAACTCTGAGGCAGTTGTGTCGTCTACATATCTAACCCATTGATCATCAGTATAATTGCCTGTGTATCAAGCTACGTCCCCTTTGGTACCCCAGAAGGAACTGCGCCCCACTCTGAATGGCAACTGTGAACTAGCTAAAGGAAAAATCCATTTCCTGCGGCTGGGAAAAAGCTGCTCAGAGTGCGCAGAAGATGGTAGGAAATTCACAGGATGGCCATGATTTCCAGCGGTGTAGAACATGTAACCTCTGACGCATACATTCTAGTTTGTATCTGAGGAGAAACTTGGAACTCCCTTTGGTGACCAATCCTACTTTGCATTTTGATAGAAACAGTCAGTCATTATCTCTTCCTCCCCTAAGGTGACGGACAGAGCGCATTCATTTGCTGAAAGCAACACGCACCAATATGCCCGCTTTTAAATGAAGGGCTAATTAAATATCCCACTTATTTCATTGACGAGTTGTTAACGAACGTCGCACTAATAACAATGGGGCCTTATCTATAATGGGAAAAGGTCATCTGTTTTCACCTAAATGTCTGTGTTCCTGGACTTTGGAAAGGTTAGGCATGTTACGTTTACTGCCCGACGTTTCAGAGGAAAAAAACTGCCTGAAATAATCAAATTATCTTTGTCTACCTTAAAGCGTATAAATTAATGTGGGTTGACTGACTTGATGTGTTGTAGTGAGGGCGACTGAAGACTAAGAGTTGTCTAAAGTGTTCCAGTATTGTGGGCTTCACGCACACTGATCTTTTCAACGCCCTATTACTTCAATTATCTTATCTTCTTTTTTTTTACCCTCGTCAAGTTAACCTATTCGCCCCCTTCCCCCCTCCCCCAAAAGAAATTAATATAGTATTGCGATTCCATGAACTTCTAGCCAACATTGAATAGGGGAGGGGGGTCTTGTTAATGATTCAGAGTGTGATAGAAAACAGGAGTGTTATTCTACACATAAATAGAACTATTCAAACACAGTGTCAACCAATCTTGACGCAGGTTGTAGTTTTATTGAGTTTTGAATATTTGGAGGGTTTCATCTCGTTAAGATATTACTAAAATGAACAGTAATATATGCTATAAAATATCCTCTAAAAAAATTGACTTATTTCAACTATCCATTTACAGACTAGTGCTTTGTCGGTAACTCGCAATTCAAACAAGTTAACAAGCCGTTTTGTGTTCCTTTTAAATACGAAACTCGGGGCTAAAAATTAATTCCAGTGCTAGGTGGCCAGTCGGGCCAGTTTCCTTAAATTCTTAGTGGTCCATCCCAAAATGAAGTAGCCATCGATTTCCTCTAGTTTAAAATGAAAAACTTGAATAAACGCCCCTTACCTTTTAACAGAGTGTTAACTAAAAGGAAAGAACACAGAAGTCTAGAGTCATGTGGCAATCACAAAATCAAAATGGCGTCTATACATTGTGAAAATGGATCGCTCGTGAAATCATTATTAAAACGGCTCGGAATTTCCACTTCAGAACTAAAAATTCACTGAAATGGATGATCTTCAGTCCAGGCAAAGAAAGAGAAAGGTAGTCCAATTAAACTACATATTGAGTTTTATTTTTAACTTTGTACTTCGCATAATTTACATTGAAACTTTTTAGAAATTCTGTAGCGTAGTCGCACATCGGGCGTTCAAACCTTAACTTTTGGTGGCCCTAGTCAGTTTTAACTCGCCACTGGCGACCGTGCGACCGCCAATTTTTAGCCCTGGAAACTCCGCTAAAGAATCTAAACCTGAGGTTGACATGCAGCCTTGTTCTGGAAAAGGTGAATCACTTTTTCTTTTTTTTAAATTTTAACGTGTACTAGTGATGACAGTTGTGAATGTTTGGAGTCCGGCTCTTGTTCAACTTCACCTGCAGGCAAGAGTTTTGGTTTTTGTGACTCATCATCAGACTGTGGCAGGGGCATGGATTGACTGTCATCAGCAGGTGGCAGTGAGACCGACACTTCCGGTTTCTTTTCTTCCTGTGATTCGTTGTCATTAATGACATCTGTTTCCAGTATGGCTACTTGTTTTTGGTTATATTTATCCCTTGCGATCTCGTACAATCTCCCTGCTTCAACAGGACCTGTTTGTTCCACAAGTTGACAAAAAATACCACGGGGATTTTTTAGAAGAACATAAGGCGCATCGAACTCTTTGAGGCGACCAGCATCTAACACCTAGGGTAAGAAAAAGGTAACGTCGAGTGTAAATTAAATATGGAATGAAGGAGACTGTAAAGTATCATCTATCAACATCTACATAGCCTCCTACCAGTACTTTGTCGGAGTCGATAATGGTATTGAGACGATGAGCTATCGTCAACACTGTGCAATGCTTAAATTTCTCGCGGATGGTGGTCTGAATCAGAGAGTCTGTCCTGAAAAAACGTAGAATTACGTAAAGAAATAAAAAGGATAAATGATTTGAAAACATCGCAAAGTTTCCAAAGTAACGACTTCCGTAGGTGCTGTAACAGTTTGACCTGAAAAATGCATATAGGAGGGTAAGTCAGTTGTAGAACATATTCCATGAACGGCAATCTTTAATTTTTCATTATCAAATTCATTACAGGATCACCGATCATTAAAGAAACACTCCAATGTTGGAAAAGTCAAGTGTCAGGACACTTACTTCTGATCAACATTAGCAGTGGCTTCGTCAATGACCAAAATACGACTATGCCTTAAAATTGCACGTGCCAGGCACACAAGCTGCCGCTGACCAACACTGAAATTTGAGCCTGATTCTCCCAGCTCTTCATCTAGCTTGTTTGGCAACTCCTCAACAGCGTTTTTCAACTGGACCTGAAGGAAACAATTTAGATATTCAACGTTAAATCCATTGCCTTAATCAACAGAAATTAGTTTATCAATGTAATCTTTTTACCTCCTCCAACACGTTCCACAATTCAGTGTCTAGATGTTCTCCAAATGGATCCAAATTTCTTCTCATAGGACCACTAAACAACACCGGTTCCTAAACAAATAATCACCTAATCATGTTAACAAAAGGGAAAAGCTTTGGGAATGGTTAGACGGTTGGAATCCAAGCCATACCGGGTTCACCGCGTGCCCCATTCCTCCAAGTCCCAAGAGATTCACAGATAAGAAGCTCATGTCATGGAGAGGGGGAAGGGGGAAGCAGAGTTTTATGACATAGTCAAGAAGCTCACCCTGATACGTCACATAATCACATGGCTTGTTCTTGTATGAAATTAACAATACAATGTGATGGTCACTGGAATCAACGAGGGGGGTTGGGCCCCCACGTGTCGGGTAAATTCAAAATCATTATCATGGCTACTTTGCTACTGAATAATATCAAAAAAACTACTGAAACCAACTCATCATGGGAACCTTAAAATGTAGCAAATTGAATGTAAGGGCTATTACTATGAGGCTTTCTATGATGACAATGATAATGATGACGTCAATGATAGCGGTGATTATTATCAAAATTATTGAAATTATTGCTATCACTACTCTTACTACCAACATTCTCGTCATCATCATAAAAGCCAGAGTTTGCAGTGGAGACCCCTCTCTACGAAATCTGTAGAAAAGGACAAAATTTGGATTTATTTATTACCTGTGGAATGATGGATAATTTGCTTCTTAAGTCTTTCAGCCCAAGTTCCTGGATATTGACACCGTCGATTTCAATTTTACCTCGGGGTTCTGACAAGCGGAACAGTGTAGAGATAAGGGATGACTTTCCAGCACCGGTCCGACCCACTACACCAATCTAAAGAACACGGCACACCATATGAAGAACATGAGTAACAAGAATTTAAAAGGACGAAAGCACGTGCAATAGAATTGGATCACAGCTATGTGGTTGCTTAAAAAGAAGTTCGATGCAAAACTTTCAAATAGTTTTTTTTCACGAGATTGATTTATTTAACATCTTCAGTGTCGTAAGATTTTAACAAACGTTAAGAACGATTTTAAAAATTATTACCATTAGCTTCCAAGAAAGCAATGTATGTGCTATGTTTCCTATGAAAGTATACTTGGAACTCCTTGCAAGTAAGAAAACTAAGCTTATCGTTGTAGTAACGAAAAACATGATCAACTGTTCCCTTTAGATTACTCGCATCAGACTTGACACTAACGTTGCATCCACAGAGCAGACGAGGCCATCTGAGGTAATTTATCATGATCGGGAGGAGCAAAGGAGCACTACAGGTCCTTTGGGGATTAAAGCATACAATCTCACATACAGCGCTTAAAAGGAGCCAGAATACTAGCCGGACTTATAATCCCATTAACCAACCACCATTTTTCTCTGGCCAAATTTTGTCGCTCATTTCCACTGACCGAAAGCCTATCAAAGGATAGCCCATTACTTGATGTAGCGAAAGGCGATTACTGCGAAGACTCACTAAAGACATATTAGCAGGGTTTGATCACTAATTACTTCCATGCGTGGTAAATTCCGGAGTCTATAACGTTTCTAGTCTACTGAATGAACAGGGCGGAGTCGGTGTTAAGCTGGGGTGATCTTGTCTTCAAAATAAACTATCAAAGAGACGAGCAGAGGTCTAACCTTTTCACTGGGTTTGATAGTGCACGTGATGTGATGTAGCACATCTGGTAAGCTGCGGTGATACCTGAATGACATATCATCAAAGTCAATCTGTCCACGAGATGGCCAATCATCTTTAGGTTTCGTAACAGTTTCGGCTGGAGCTTCAGCTTCAAGGTTGATGTATTCCACGATTCGCTCTACAGAGGTCATCTAATTACGAATAAAAAAAACAGACTTAGGACTGTAATGTTGGATGGAAGATAGCTATGGATGTCCCAACAATGGGTTAATTATACGTTTCAATGGTTAGCTAATCACTAAAACCTTACCATGCGATCGTCCGTTTAAGGAAAAGTACATATTACAATAAAATAGATAAAACCTTGCAATGGATCTTTCACAATACGCTACTGTTCTTATCCTACTAGATTCGCCTCAACAAAAGACTCACAAGATTTTCAAGTTCAGCACTCCCTTCAATAAATGGTTGGAAGACAGAGGTTAACATGATTGAATACGTCAGAGTCAGACCAACAACACCAGCACTGAGATCTACAGCTGCAACAGAAATGAAAACAATTAAAGAAACTGAACAAAAGCAGCAATCAGTCCGACTTTGATCAATCTCGTGTATTTACATATGGACAGGAAGTGCAGGGTTTGCACAACTTTCTGAATACAAAATGAAGTCTTGCTCCACACTTACGGTCGTGACTTTATCGTATGGTCGAAACAGAATTACAGTTGTCGAAAGCTTGTTCCAAAATTGAAATTCTTACAAAAACTTATAACAGCTTTGAAAGAAACTCGAGACGTCTTCACACTCTTTCAGAACTTTTTCATAAATTTCTATACTTTTTTTCCAGAATCTGAAAATTAGTCTTCAAACTTCCATGCTAAAAAAAAGAAGCCAAACCTCAGTGCAAAACCACAGTTCTTGTCTTCAAAGGAAGACACCTACATATACTAAAAGGTGAACCAAAGTCATTGGAACATCTTACTTACTTCCTTTTAAAGCTGCAGATACAAAAGCAACAAAGGCTAGAAACAGAACAGTAAGCATTTCCAGTCTAAAGTTCAACCACGTTTGACCCGCCAAGTAACAAAACCATGCTCTTGAATGAGCATCTTGATAACCATTAACTTGTTCTGTAAAAGTCTCCTCCACTTCATAGGCACGTATAGTGTCCAGACCGAGAAGGGTGGTGGAGAAATGACCAAATAGTGGACTACGACCTAAAGGAGTAAAAAGTATAGAAATGGTGCATTTTTTTTTTGTCGTAAGTGAAGAGCAGCAATAGTAGTTCCCTTACTTATTCCTTCAATGCGCTTGATTTCTCGAGACGACTTCATGAAATAATTCCTCAAATAAACAAAACCAATGGTCACAGGTACAATTATGACAAATGTCGCTGGATTACTGACAGCAACTAGTCCTAAAATGCCAAGACACATTAAACCGGTCTGCAAGAGAAAAAAAAACCAGACCACAATCAACAGCAGTTAGTAAACTACGATAATTCCCGTATTTCCTCGAATAAGCACCCGGGCGCTAATCTAAGAATTCGGCTAAACGGAGAGGCGCTTATTCGAAGGAAGGCGCTTAATTTGGGAAGCCGCTTATCAAGTTAGTGGAGCAATAACACGAAAAGAAAAAGAACAGTTTTTGTACGTAAAAGAACTCTGTAAGCACATGGGAAAAGAAATAACAGGAACGGACAAGAAACTATTCTCCTGTACTGATTCCGCTGTTATTAAAGCTTAAAAAGTTTTAAATTAAAGTGGCGATAAAACAGGTTTTCCTTGTATCGTTAATACTTTGGAAAGTGAGGGAGGCGGGGGACACTTGTTTGACATTATGGCTGATGGGAAGGCGCTTATTCAGGGGAGGTCTCTCGTCAGAGCGTGGGCAATTTTTTGAGGAAATAAGGTAGAGGTCACAGGAAAATAATTCATGAAATCTTCACTCTGTATCTTCATTAATTCATGAATTGTGCCGCATGAAATGTCTAACGGTGACCACAACATTTCAAAGAAGACAATGTTTCGTTAGTAGTGCTTCAGCTGTGTGTCAGTCTACCCAAGGGAAGAATATTTAACATGACACTGCCTTTGTTTCAAATTGAGTCTACTGGTTCAATCCTTTTCTGTGAGAAGCTTTGATAGGGTGTCTCAAAGGACCCTGCAACCTCATGTAATATTTGTCTACCAAGTTACCAAACCGGTAAACCCTCACTCTCTCCTTCTCAGACACATTGTAGTTGTGATTAAATCTTAAAAGTCGGTTGGTTGCAATGTTTTGATATTTAGACGGTGATCATTACCCTATCCGTTGTCCACTTAACACTGTTGCTCTAAACGAGCCGTCATTCCAAACAATTCTCTGGTCCTGTGTGCGTTACTCACTATTTCGATCGAATCGATTTTTGGAATTAGTCTTTCATTTATACGACTGGTCATAAATTGTGTGATACAACAACCAGATTTGTACAAAGAAGTGACTGAATGCTGTGCCCCTCCGTACTGAATGAGGCACAATTACCTGGTGCCTGAGAAGGAAAGAGTGTGAGGGTTTACTGATTTAGTAACAGGGTACGATATGTTATTCCTAAGGATGTAGGTATCTCAAAATACTTTCAAAAAAAGATCTAAAAACAGAAACAGATTTAAACCAAGAATTAAAATTACTTTTAAAACTAACAGCGGGCCACAGGTGGATAACGGAATCTCACCCTTTATCCATGCAGTACAACTATACTTAGTAATAATATCAATGCTACCTGCAAAACATCACATAGGATCATAGGCATCAAGTCGTCTACCATTCCAATGTCCTTCGCAAATCTGTTTAAGATTCGCCCTGTAACAGGTAAACATTGGTATGAATTATTGTGTCATAGAGTATTGCGTCAGACCCATCTGGTGCGGAAAGAAGTACTTGAAATATTCTACCAGGAGTGCATTAAACTATCTGGGTTATTAAATAACGTAAGATGTAAAATTAGAGTCAGCAATCGTGCGGAGTGTGCCCTCCCCCCCTGAAATAGCATGAGTACATTAAACTGTCTGGGTTATTACATAAAGTAGGGTATAAAAACTACGGTCAGCAATGGAGCCAGTTGGCTCCCCCCCTGGATGGATGTGATGCCAGTCCATTGCAGCTCAACCCTTCCCCCGGTATTTGGTGCGGTCTCCCAGGCAGTTCGCCGTTACACAAAAAGAACACCCAGACCTCTCGATCTTGAGTTCACCATTCAAAAATTAAATACACCTTTAGTTGAATGGTAATCAGAGCTCTTCAAACTCTGGGCGAAATTCAGCAAAAAATTTAAATTCTTCCTCAAAGAGGCACCTTCAGCCGGTTCACAGAAGTAAAGACTAAATGCTTTAATAACAACTTCGTTATTTTTTGTTAGAACAAGTTCCACTTTAATTATTCATTTGATGTTACCGAACATCTATCGATCCAAACGTTCCTCACCTATGGAATTGTTGTCAAAAAAGTACATGGGTGCCCTCAGAAGACTACTTAACATTTTTTCGTACAAGTTCCTTGAGGCAACTACTGTCAGTGTGTAGAACAGCTCAGTGGAAAAGAGACATAGCAAAAACAATCCTATTACAAAACCACCATAAACCCCTAACAGCAAGCCTCGGTCGGGTTCTGATGCAGCACTCGCCGTGGAATTGCCAGTCTGAAGCATTATAGCGACGAAGTATGATTCCTCTGTATTAGACCTGCATCAACACAAGACAACAGAAAAAGATAAAGGCAGGTGTGCATTATGCAGTTACCTAAAGAAGGGAAAAGGTACACAGCCGCCCTCAGAAACAACAACTGAAGGTAAAATTTCATCCGAAAAAAAACTGAAGTAGTTAGTCAGTCATCAGAAGTCAGTATAATCATATTAGCACAGGCAATCACACGAAGAACAAACAAGCACACGTTATTTTATATGAGTACAGATTCTGACTATAATAGTCTTGAGGCAGCATGAAAGCGCTTTATATACATGTAATTACTATATGCATTCGCAGAAATACTTGATGACTTCCTCAGGCAAGGGAAATAAAATTTTTTTGGAGTAATCCCCATACAGCCTTGTCATTTAGCCTTTCCTTTTCAAAAAAATAGCAGCCCTGGGTACAAGTGTTGCCACTACACATGACTTTCAAAGGCCTTCGTCGGTCCAATAAGGTCATTCATCTTCACTCTTTTAACCCATAGTTTTTGTTGGGGCGGAGGTTGGGCACCTTTTGATGCTAACAAAAGCCCAAAATTTACACGAACAAATAAAAGTTAACCAATTAATATAAAAATATTTTTCTTTACACACCACATTTACCCTTGCTAGATATAAGTCCTTTTACAGCATATCGAACGCACCCTTAAATGTACGTTCACTCATTCTTTCAACTCTGATCTTTTTCCGATGAGTCGACACTTCGCCATTTACTGTTTTTGTCTCAGTCTTTTTTTAAGAAAATAGTATCGAACACAGAATTAGCCAGAAGTATTTCGAAAATATACGGCTGGGGAGAGAGAGAACTTTGTACCAAGGGGGCTTGATTTTGGCTTTATGATTATGTAAATTATAAACGAGTTAGGTGACTGATCGTTTTCTTTTATTTAACGGTAACCAGCATGGTACGATTCATCTATGCAAAAACTCTTGTGTCAAGAAAGATCAGAGCCACCTGAATTGTAACCCTTACATCGAGGGGTAAGAAAAATGCATAAGTTCCTTTGTCCTCAACTCCAAACGAAAAAAGAGAAAAGTGACGAAAATACTTTCGCCCCCAGTTCCAATTCTAAAGATTCTTGACTTCGGCTCTGACGCGCAATGGATTGGGAAACCAAGAACAACACTCAGAAACCAGGTCAGAATACAGGTACAGAGAATGACATTACTTGGTCTGACATAGGATCAGGATATAGAGAACTGGGTCCAAGGATCCGATCAAGATTTCTGCGCCACATAAATATTTTGATAATTTTCAGCCCCTATTTTACGAAAACGGGTTTAGGCCCTCTATTCTGTAAAAAGTAACAATGCGTGTTAAAAAGAAAAAGAGAAATTGTTTTCTTCTTACCAATAAGACAACCACCAGTCCGCCAGCATTGATATTACCTGAAGGAAGAATTCGAAAAATGGCAGCGAATTTAAGAGCCTGAATTTCGTCAATACTGAAATGCCTACCACTAACGTCTAATCTGCACATGTAGATCGTCATTCTCAGTTGAGTGTTTCAATTCAAAATGATTGCGAGATGAATCTGAACCGTTTCAAATCCGATTTTACTTAAGAGTGTACCACGGCCGATGCATGTTGCAAAAGGAGTTCAAAAGCCTGTTGGACTCATTTAGACAAGTTTACCCTCAACCCTGCATATGAATGTACAAAGATATATGCAGGAAAATGATACTAAAAACACAATTTGGGGTTAATTTATCTCCAGATTGAGACTAGTCCGTTGAAAAGCCCCTTTGCCGTTTACTACAGAGCATATAATGAACTCAAAACTGAATGTTCCATACCTGACAGAGAGCAAGCAAGAAAATAACAACAAACGCAGTTCGTAAATTGTGTAAAGCACGGAAATATGCCAGATACGTCTTAGGACTGACCGCTCCTTCTTGTTTCTCTTCTCTTGGAAGTAGATTGTCGTCCTGTAGAAGAAGCATGGTGAACATGATGTATTCAATTGAAAATCGCTGAATTTAAAGAAATCAATTTAAAGCAAGTTCCCTAATATCATAAACGGTACCTGCGCGTGTACATTTGCTAAACGAAAATTTAACTACATCCTTCTTTTCCAATTCGAAGTGAACCTTCAATCGATTGTTCCTCTATTGTTAGAAGGCACCTCTGTATTGCGGAAAGTTTCCCTTTTCCGGACAAATTCTACTATATTTGCATTAAAAAAAAACTAAAAATACTAAATTTTGGCCCGAGTGACGGACACTCTGATGATTATGTGGTGAGAGTTGCCGTAGCTACTCAACCCTCAATCCTTTAATACCAAAGCTAACCTTTATGAGGATACCGTGACAGTAGCTGTCTTTCTCTATTTAATTCACACAGTGTATCTCAATGGTACAGTCGAACCTGTATTAAGCGGCATCGTATTAGGCGGTCATCCTGTAGTAAGCGGTCAGTTCTCAAAGTCCCGAAAATTTCCCCCGAAATCACTGTAATTTTCACCTCTACTTAGCGGTCACTTCTATTAAGCGGTCGTGGTCACCCTTTACTGAGTTCCAACGGACTGCCCTCTACCATATAGAGCGCTCACGTAAAGCGGAACCACTACAGCTAGATTTAAATTTAAGTGGCTGTTTATTGCTTTGGTGAGTTCTTTAACCCTACATAAAGTCAATTTAAAATAAAAATCATCTCTTCGATTGCTATATTACTTTTAAAACTGATTTTGCACAATATAAGTGAGCATCATGATGTACTTTAAAAGATGTGAACGGGAAGGAATAGCGATCAAAGACTTACGTAAGCAGAAAATGTTGTGGCAGCAGACACAATGGAAAAATTACTGTCAGCAATTTTACTTAGGCGATGGCATGGGAAGCTTTCCTGTCGACTTAGCTGCCGAGCAATCATCAGCCTTTCAGCATCTTTTGCTTCCACTTCACGACCTGCCTCTGTTTCAGGATTCATCAAACATTCCATAATGTTTGCACTTCCTTTACATAAAGAGAGTTCTTTATAGGGTCCTTTATTGACTACTTTTCCCTTTAAATTAAAAAACGGAAAACAAAAGTTATCAACGATGATGCATTTGGGAAGAAAGTGACGTAGTTTCACTCAGTCCCCCGGGAAGATACCAACCAAAGGCAGCCATATCTGAAGTGGAGTTCGCACGCTCTTTCAACTGAGCTATAGAGGAATTGTTCGTGGGCCAGACTATGTGCAGCGTAGTGTAAAGTGCATTACTCGTACTAACTGTAGAAGAAGAGGAATGTACCATTATTGGGCCCTTCCAAAATACAGTCATGCACATAAATGTGTCATTATTGAAACTTCAAATTATCAGCTCAACTGACTAAACGTTTTGATTTTTAACGAATTTGTTAAACTTAGGATTTTTAACTCACTCTATTTGATTCAGGTTTAATGTTTCTTCCTCCGTAACTAAACGTTACGAAACGTAACAGCTGATGTATTACCTTATCTAAAACGATTATATCATCTGCTTCTCCAATGTGCTGCAGTTGGTGAGTTACTAAGATGCGTGGCTTCTTTGCCAAATATCCACAGATGCACCTTAATAAAAACACGGGCAGTCATGCTACTATAGCTAGTATCCACAGTCCAAAAACGATGATGACTGTGGAATTTGAAAGGTTTCTCAAAAGGTTGGATGTGACATTTAAAAAACACACACATACACACACACAAGCTGCTTTGATGAAAAATTCAAATGAGAACTTACTCCGTTCTTTCGCGAATTTCTAAGAAATTTTCGATTTTTGATAACCTTCGCAGTGCTAAGGGTATTAATTGATCAAAAATTTTGAAACTTCACCAAAAATTCTGTTCTCTAGCACAATTTAGCTGGCTTATATTGAAAGAAGAATAAATGATCACTGTTCGTAATCAGTGACCGTAATACCTTTTTCACAGGTTTCTTTCGAGAGGACACATGAGTGCTGGCTGCAAAGGAGATTGGCCACAGTAGTCATTCCTTTTTGTAACATTTGATTGGCCAAATTCTTTTAAATTTTTTATTCTACTGGGTCGGCTAAGCAGGTGAAAGTACTTTATATCTTCTTACTTTTCAAATAAGTGTCGACCGACGTCAGCATCTACAGCACTCAGTGGATCATCCATCAAATAAATGTCTGCGTCGGCATACACTGCTCTGAGAGAAAAAAAAAATCCTACTCAACTGCGTGGTCTTTCACATTTTCACATGTTTTAATGATTTAATTATTTCAGCTGAACACTATAATCTGTATATCTGCCATATTCTTCCGATAATTAACATGCTTTCTTGATCTTTTTCGCGACACTCCTCAAAATTGTAATAACTGTAAGTGGCCGTTTAATATCCTCACAAGAAAGTCCCAACAGATTGCAGATTACATCGATCTTGAGCCAAAGGTCTTTTCTCCTCAGTGAATACCTGGCATTCGCATTCTGTTGACGCTTTCTATGGACAGAGGTACTGCAGCAGTAACGAATGTGCAAGTGTAATGCTGGTCCGGCATACTGAAGTAGCTTTTTGAGCCCATTGATGGTTTAGTTCCCGCGACCTTTTGATAGCGTAACATACGTCATACCTTGCCAAGTTGACCCTTGCCCTTTGACCTCCACTCAGTGACACTCCTCGTTCCCCTACAAATGTCATGTCACCATCTGGGAGAAATTCAATATCCTAAATGACATGGGATAATAAAAAACATTAAAAATATCGTATCAAGCCATTGCAACTTCAAAATCGACAAACTTTTGATGGAATCGAGCTTGAGATCTTCTGAAATGAACCAACCAGACAAAAAAATTCAGTAAAGTGGAAAAGATATAATATTCAAAACAAATAGAAAAAAATAACTTTTTTTGAAAACCAACTGCATGCAGTACATGTACCTTATCCAAAGCACAAGCTTTAGTAACTTCTTTAAATTTATCCTCATCATAGTTCTGCCCAAAGAGTATGTTCTGGCGCAGTGAGCCATTATATACCCAAGCCTGTTGTGAAGAGTAGCCAATTTTTCCTTTTACTGTTATAGAGCCCTCAGTCAAGGGAAGTTCACCCAGTATTACCATCAGCAGGGAGGACTAATTGAAAAAGGTAAATGTCAAGAAACGATTAGTACTGATCAAAAAACCTAACTGATAAATAACATTATGTTACAAGCGCAGCCTATACGGTTGAGGTATATAATTACACAATCTTCAGAGGAGGAATCAGGGTTTTTTCGGTACCCCTCAACGAAAGAAAGAAAATGAAGGGATCGTAATAAAGGGATCGAGAAGAGTTTGAATTATAAAAAAAAACTATTGAATTAATACCTTGCCAGATCCAACAGCACCAACCACTCCCAGAAGTTCACCCTACATCAAGATGAAATGTATATAATTTACCAACTCTGGGAGGACCACTTTTTAAACAAAGTTGAACTCTTATTCATCTAAACTTCGCTCTGAACAATCTTACGTCAAGCAGAAAATACTCAAACGTTAAGTCTAACTTTTTGTGAAACTGTCAGTAGGACTTACATCTAACGCTACAAGAAGAATCGATTTAATGACTTCAAAAAACCCACAAGAACTTTCGAACTCCATCGATCGTCAAAAACTGCAGCCCAAATTAGACTGTTTCCGTAAGTGACCCTGGATGTCCAAACCCACACTTAAACACTTAGGACAGTTTAAATACATACACTTGACACTTTGAAGGAAACGTTTTCCAAAGTTGGGGATTGTAAGTTCTGAAAATGAAACCATAGATTACAATGAAAAACAACATGCTCAAATAAGTTTTAAGAGAAATATGTGAAACAATTCACGATAAGCTGTCCACGAGCAAGTGATTAAAAATAGCCTCGGATAGCGTGAGACCTACTAGACAAGAAAATAATTGAGGTATTCAATTTAGTCATTCTTCTCAATATTCTGATTAAGAGTAACTACAAATGTTACTTTTGGCTTTAAAGACCGTAGATAATTCAGTTGATATTTTTTTTTGTCCTTATACCTTATTCCAAAGAGCTTTGATATTTTTGACAGCAACATGGCAGTCTTCCAGTTTAGGTCTCAATTTTGAGGTTACAAGACCCTCTGATTGCATCTCATCCATGAGCAGAATATCCTTCAAAGTAATAATGGTATTTTTTTCATTACTTGTCAGTATTGAACACCTACTCTGGACATTTAATGATGTTCGATTTGTCTGTACTGAGTTAAACTGTTCGGTCAAGAACAAATGAGAACTAAAAAAATTAAGAATGAACTATTCATGTCCTTTCCACGCTTTCATATGTGTAAATTAGCCAATTAGATAAGAACGACTCAACAAACTAACTAAGATTTCATGTCGTTTTATGCAAACCTATAATTATTGAAAATCTATTTTCAATAAATTGCTATATATAAAAATCAAATTTTAGCTTTCAATACCATAGGTGCGGTCGGTCAAGACATACAGATTTTATTTGAAATAGAATGAATTTGAAATGAAATTATCATTAGACACCTCCATCCTTTTTACTGACACTCGGCATTCATTCAACAGAGTGATTGCTATTGGAAACTGCAGGGCCATTACAACTCGCATGATGTTGAACAGAGATATGCAGGTGAATACTGTTTGTGCCTTTAAAACTTCCCCAGTCAGGACATAGGTCATAAACGTCACAAAGCTAATAACAACTGATGAGCTAAAGAAAAATGACTGGAAGGCTCCTTGAATGAAACTCAGCTTCAGAAACCACTTAAGTTCACTTCTGCAAGTAGAAAAACAAATTGAGATGACATTGCTTAATACTCCTAACAACTATTACTAAAATGCAAGCAACAAATAGGCAAATAATTACAAGCAGTAGACAGATAAAATCAAATAATTTGGCTTCTCTGCAGGTAGCAAGAATAAAACATCATTTTCTTTCTCTCCATATAAAGTTGGGAAGTTTTTGCTACGATTCATCAAATTCATCAGGATTCAACAGGAATTTAGGGTGTGTGCTTCATATTCTTAATTTCGTATTTTCCCATCTGCAAGGGTCTTAGAAAGAGAACTTTCTACTACTGCACTTCACAAGGGAGCTCATAAAGCACATTACTGATAAGTCAGTTGCACATCCTGACTACTTACGTTATACAACATTTCCCCAAATAAATATGTTTATTTAGGGAGACTATACATGAAATGAAAAGAGGCAGATTTACCAATTAAATGTTCTAGTTCTTAGAAGACTTGTTATTTAAAATTTTCTATAGAAATCCAGGGCAGGAAACTTACTTTCGTATTTGTCTGATCCAATTTGAAAATGAATCTTCCCATGTGTACATTTTTATGACACGCATTCCAGCTATAATTTCATTCATAACTTTCACCCGTTCATCCATCCAGTGTATTGCTTTTGTCCTAGAAGCACAATTAGAGAAAATAAATCTCACGACTTCCTCTGGACAACTTACTGAGTACAACACTAGAGAAGCCCTGCAAACTATCTTCCATAATTCTCTGCTATTTTTATGTTTTCACTGAATATCATGCTTTCTAATCCTTTAAATAATTTCAAAAAGTTTTCCAAGTACGTAAAATTTCACGTATTGAGTCAACTACTACCTTTACTGTAATGGGACACATTACATATTAGACTCGCCACTTTATGGGACTCATTAAGTTATTCCTTGGGGAATAACTTAATCCCCGCCTACATGCTACGCCTGACTAATTGTTGACTGACATCGAATAATGAATAATAATGATCAATAATGATTTAGCGGTGGACAATCCACGAGGTGGCTCTTTCTGTCCACTGTTTCCAAGTCGAATAGAAATTTGGAATGTTGGTTTTAGCGGAAGGAGGAAATCTGGAAAACCTTTAGAGCAAGGACTAGAACCAACAGCAAACTCAGGTCCAGGAATCTAACCCAGGCCACAGTAGTGGGGGGCGAGCGCACAAAGTTTGCTCAGATTTCTACGATCGATCTTCGAGGAGGTTTGCTATGCGTCTGGATCTGCATGGTTCAAGACTAATAGAAGCAGAGGTTGAGGGTAGCTTATTTGGTCTATAATCTTCTTGGGCCTCTTTAGAGAAGGATCTTGTTGATCTCTACTGATGGAGGCTGTTTCTTCTTTAGTGTTTCCTGGAGTGCGATCGTTCAGAAGAACATCATCTAGGTGTCGCCTCCAAGTCCGTCCATCGTCCAACTGAAGCAATAAGACTGAGGTGCTGTCTGCTTTATCACTAATGAATAAAGGGTTAAGTTTCTAAAGAAACTGTGGTGCTGCGTTGCGTGGGTTGATACCGCCCAATGATACGACTCATTGGTACCGTGATTCGCAGCTTTCCGAACTGCGTGGATGTAGGCAGTTCGGAAAGCCGTAAAACTCCAGAACAAAAATTCATCTTCCAAATCGGCACTCTTTATCGCCACGGTATCAACGAGCGCTTTTCATTCAACTTATTTATTCTTGTTTTCTCGTCACCATATTCCCACCAATAGCATAGCTCCATTTTCTGCGAATAAACCCACAAAATTCCCCAATCGCTCTGATGAAGGGCTAACGCTCAAAACGTCAGCCTTTAAACTCTTTACGGTGACCAATTTACGCTTTCAACTCATTTGATAACACCAAATAACCCTGTTATATCACCGGTCTGCCAGGTAGACACTTGCGACTGGATAAATGGTCTTGTGTCAATACAATGTCACCTGGAGCCACATCTCCGAACTTGGCCTGCATGTCATGATTGTATTTCATCTTGTCTTGTTGGCAGGCCACGTAATTAGCAAGATCAGGCCATGTCAAAGACAAACGGGTTCAGATTTCTCTCCCCACCCTTGGCAGGTGATGTTCCTTTAGTGGCACGTGAATTGGTCCGATACGATATTAGAAATCTGGAAATTCGCTGCTCCAGAGAGCTGTCAGGATCAGTGATAATTTCTGTGTAGTCAAATTCTGCACGCTGTTGTCGGAAACGAACGCTGCTTGAATGATGAAGATTTCTCAACTTTATTGTCTATTTACAGACTGTAAGTCTGATCCTATATGAGATTGTTTCTAAGGGGAACATGACCTTGGAATTCGGGCGACTAGAAATAAAAATTTGGACGACATGACTCTGGTTTCAGGCAACATTAGCTTGGGAAAGATTTTCGGAAGACTCGACCAGTTACCAATCACTTTTTTTTGTTCGTTTGATTGTTCCAGTTGTTTCTTTACCCTCTTTCTCTACCCAGAGGCTTTCCTTGAGCCCTCAAGCGCTTTCCTTGAGCCCTCAGGAGCTTCTCGTTTCTTCATTAAAGATGCTCAAACATATTCACTGTCTCGTGCAAGAGTGGAATAAAATTTTCATCGCCAATGAAGGAAAAAATGAAAATGCTGTAATACTGAGCTCCATGAAGCACACTTCTTGAAATACACCAACTTTAAATGAAGGCAGTATGGCTTAGTAGTCTTAGTATCTGGACAAGCCAGACGAAAGAGAAAAATTAAGAGGGAAAGAGAAAGACTCACTTTAACTTGAGACCATAATTAAAAATAATATTAGTAATGATAACATTAAAGCTGGCGACATAATCGCCAAACAAACAAACATACATTAGTCACCAACATTTTTCTACTCATCATAGAGACAAAAATGGTCAAAGCTTGAAGTGCAGTTCAAGTCCCTGCAGTCGTCACAGCAATAACTTAGCTCAAAAGTCACATGCTAGTAAACAATATCCTAAGGAGCTAACCTGAATGAGAAGAGAGTGTTGCCCATTTTAAGCTGCATGGCAGCCAACAACAAGATCAACCCCATCCCAGCCAGGGCTGATGGACCGATTTGCAACCATAGCACCACCAAAACAATAACAGCTATTACTGGACCAATCATTAGGTAATGCAGATTAGGTGCTGTCTGAAAGCAAATTTACGTAAACAAAGTGTAAGAAATATATCCTGATAATCATGGATTTGACTGTGTACAAGATGAAATAAAGTGGAATAACAAAATTCTCATATGCATACACAGATAACAGACTTGATTTATTTTGGTACATCATTGAAAATACAGTTGAAAATGCATATGTTAATTGTCTATACAAAGTCTTTCAAAGTAAATGTAGTGTGACATGTATGTCAAGTATAGTTTGACTAATGTCATAGGTTGTGGGTGTGGGTACAAGTAATGGAAAATTATTATAAAAAAATAATAACAAGCACGACAAGTGAATTTAGAAAAAATAATTAATCTAGAAAAAATTGGAACTTTTCCATCCATGGTGAATCTCATTACAGCTTTGGCCAAGAAAGTTTAACGATCCGTACGACCTGCACGGATCGTCTAATGCAATCAAGAGTCGCAGGGTCAAAGAAGCTATCCATATATGACTTCATCCCAACAGCATCAATAGGGATAGTGGAATCGAAATTCCCGAAGCTTCCATACCCACGATCAAACAACACAACAGCCGATCTATAAGGTCCTATGAGGGAACACCATCTAACAACCGGAATAATAACGAGGATCGAAATGCACCAATAGCAGCGAACCAACGTTCTACAAATGGCGACACGTAAACAATCTACCTCATCGCCTGACGTAAGACTAGCAGTATTGCAGTCGAAACGTCGCGATCTACATCCGTCGTGAGACAAACGAATAAGGTTCATCTAGTTCATCTTCTATCTCACACCACGATGAACAAGAACCACATACTTTATTACACTGAACAAGAGTATTCTTCGTTCCAAATGTACCGCGCGAATTGCACAAACAAGAATAGTATCCCTCGTTCTAAAGGCACGGCGTGCAGTGCACAAATGGCAAGGGCATTCTACGTTCTACCAAAACCCTCTCCGCGAAGTACACAACCAATAAGAGTATTATCTCCTTCTTAAAGTACCACCCGAAGTGCACAAATGACAAAAGTTTGCAAAGTATACAAAAAACAAGAGTATTCCTCGTTCTAAAATCACCGCGCGAAGTGCACAAACAACAAGAGTATTCCTCGTTCAAAATGTACCGTGGAACGTGCACAAACAACTAGAGCATCCCTCGTTCTAAAAGCACGGCGCGTAGTACACAAATGAAAAGAGTATATTCTTCGTTCTACTCAAAAGCACCACGCGAAGTGCACAACAGCAAGTGCATTCCTCTTTCTACTAAAAGCACCACCCGAAGTACACAAAAAGCAATTCTGCACTCCTCTTGTGATGTTAAATGCAAATAGGACCCGAACTTAGCGTTGATTGTGTATTGTTAACTTGGGAAGAATTAATTTTGATCACTTTTCGTTATGTAATGTTATGTAAATAGCAGTATAAAGATATTCAGTTGTCCAAGTTCTTTAGGTTATGTTCAGTAAAGTCAGTTAGCAGCTGCGTATCTAGCGATTAACGTTTTTTTAACGTTCTTTTAAAACGTTGTTTTTTCGCTTAAAGGCCACTTGCACCTCTGATGCGTAGTTATCTCGAACTAGCGCGGGAATCTTCGTCCCCTTTTAATTCGGTCAGCCGGTCATAGCTAGCGAACACATACAGGGTTCGAGAAGAGGGCGAAACACTCTTTCTCAGCTGCCGTTGTTTATTGTCAGAAACGTTTTCTTTTATAAAAATTTAAGGGGCGATCTTTTGACTCAGGAATAACGCCTTATAGAATTGAAAGTAGCTCTCATTTTTCTGTCTAAGACCCGAATATTAAATATTGCAATTACGTAATTTTGCCGATTCCGACAGTTGACTACTTCAATTGTTATTTTACACCGATACTTAGAATGAAATAGTGCAAAAAGATGGTAGGCTCCGAGTTCAATTTTTTTCTGGTGATCTTTGAGCCCTCATTTGAAACTTTAGACGAGCAAATTAGGAATTCCTCGTTTTAAGAGCACCGCACAAAGTGCACAAACAAGAAGTATTCTTCGTTATATTAAAAAAACGCTGTGGCTAAATGCCCGGCAGCCGGGCACGGTCTCAAATAGACTAAATGCCTTGCAGTCTCAAATTTACACAGAATTTCCCTGAAAAGATAAATATTTGTTCTAGAGTTTTGCGGCTTTCCGAACTGCCTTGATGTAGGGAAAGGCCGCAAACTGCCATATGCTACTTAAAAATTGTTAGGGACCTTAAAGTGCCTAGCGACTGGTTTGGATGCGTCGCGGAAATGTTCTCGAAATCAGTCACCTAATCGTCTTCCGGTTTCACCAATATAACTTTTTGCGATTAGTGCAAGTTATGTAGTAGACATTGACAGAGGTGCACGTAAAATGATCAGTGATCCTAATGGATCTCTTGAGTCCAGATATTTTCTCTACGTTGTTAATGAAAGGACAAGTTTTGCATCGTGGGCGAGCGCATTTGAAAATTCCAGGTTGTTCATTACTTTGAATGAACTTCTGACCAAAAAAGTTGCGAAAAGATGGAACCAGTGTCTAAATCGTTTTTAAGTAATTTAAAGTTATAAATAGGTTTTCATTCAAGCAGTTAATTCTATCATTCTTAAACTGATCGCTTCACTCTTTACGGTTGCCAATTTACGTTTTAAACTCAGTTGATAATACTAAATTACCCTGTTAAGCTTTTTGTGGTTTTCTTCACAAATGTTCCTCCACAGGGGTTTAACAACTTATTCATGATTGCTTTCCAAAAGTGCACATTTGTGAATAACAATAATTTATAAAATAATTCAAATAGTACGCGCGCTCTGATTGGCCATAAAACCATTTTACATGAGCGTATGTAAACACGGTTTTCACACTGAATCTTCTTGCGGAGTTCTCCCTGCTATTTATTTAGCAGTAACTCAGTTTCTTTAAGTTTGTTGCTTCGCGTCGTGGTTTCCTACGCTTATCTCTTGTTCTCCCAACCTCCCGCGTGTTTACATCAGGCTATGTAAACACGGACACCATTTTACATTTCTTCAATATAACTAGATTAATGAACGGCCAATTTCATCTGAAATGAATCTTCAGTGATTGGAATATTTTTAAGTGTCAAGAGGGGGAATGCAACCTTTTTCTTGAGCAAGAAATGCTTTCAAACTAATTTGTTGTGAATTAATAATACTTTTTCTCTTTTGTCAAATATATAATTTCTTCCTTCAAATTATATATATATATATATATATATATATATATATATATATATCACTTTTTTACTGATCACTGATGACATGAGTGCACACCCACAATTCATGCACTGTACCCATCACCCACAACCCAAAACAATTAGTCAAACTCTGTAAAATAGCAAACATGGAAGAATTGCTACATCCAGTAAATGCAAAATAGTCTTACTATTGTTGGCTGTTTTACATGTACATACCCAATCAAATTTCTGAGTATCACTGGATATCAGGTTTACAATGTTACCAGTAGTTGTACCATGAAGGGCAGCAGTGCTAAGTTTAAGAGACTGATATGTAAAATGTATAGTTAAAAAAGAGAAGAGCTGATAGTTTAATCACAAATAAATCATTGAGAGAAACTGAGCAAAGGTGCTTTGGATCAACAACTACACTAGACCTCAGTGCACTCACCTTTCTATATACAAGACCAGTGCAAGCCACTCTTATCCTCATGCCATAAACTTGAGACATGAAGGTGAAAGGGGCATTGAACATACTTGACATCAGAGAGCACAAAATTAAACCAGTAGCATAAAGGTAAGCATCTCCTGTTGAGATGGGAGAATCTTCCACAAAATAGCGTACAAGTTGGCCCAAGAAGATAGGTCCAGCTATTTTGAGAATGTCCTGTGGACACATCACAAGGTGTACAGTGTATATTGTGAAAAAATCACCCAAGGTGAAACACCAGTAGTATACAGTGTAAATTGGTTATGAGTAAACATTACTAATGAAGCAAATACCGTTAGTTGTCAACAGTAGTAATTATGTGCATCAAAAGGAGTCAAACTTACACGCATAAGTGCTACAAGACCTAACAGAGAATAACCAACACCAAAGGTTCTTCTTAATGCTGACAGAAAGCTGGGATATTTTCCTTGCTGGTTAGCTTTATACATTTCCTTTTCCCATTCACTGAAAATCAAAAATTCTAAATCAGACAGGGTGGATAATAATTAGTTCAAACAAAAAATCAGACATGACAGGGATTTAAGAAAAGAGATGATGTTATTTTACATTAAATGTTATTTATACATTTCTGAATTTTAGATTATTTTACTCACTGTTACAAAAGTAAATAATGTCTGCCATTTTTTGACCTGACCTGAGTTACAAAAATATTACAACTTGCTTCATGATACAGGATTAGATCATTTTTCAGTGATATACATAGCATATAGCATCATGATGATATAAATGGGCAGGTTTCACTTTCTATTCTCTTGTGAGCAGTGTGTGTACTTTGAAGGTTGTTAAAATAATGACTAAGTACCCATCTCTAATAACACTGTGTGACTGTGTACCATTCTAATGCATCTGTAACTGTCTCAGTTTGTTCTCCTTCCAAGATGGCATATAGATCCTTGGCTTCAAGTGGTTGCTTTGATCCCTTTTTGAGGAGGCTGTTTAACCACCTTTTAATTTATAAACAACAATTTACCACATAAAAGAGAACGCACAAAGAAAAAAACAGAATGCCTGCACTAAGGAAATAAGATCCTTAGACCTTTCAATTTTCAAAAAGCCTCTGTCAAGCTAGCACATCACCCTGTTGACTTCCAAAATTGCAAATTCTATTGCAGTCCATCCTAATCAAAAAAATGTCTACTAAAATTGCTATTGGCAAAAAAAATCTAGCATGGGCATGGGCATTTTCAGTTTCAAGCATACCCTTAGTAATTTGTTCTATTAAGCTGCAAAATTCCAGATTCCCTACTATCATGGTTGATTTATTTGGCTTCATGTGGCATCTCTGTTGATGATGATTAAAGAGATGTTTGCTTTGCTAACATCTATTGGGCAGGCATGAACTTCAAATACGTTTGATATAATTCACCTCTGTAGCATGTTTTTCCTGTAGACCTCTATTTAATAGACATTCTCTTTAAAATGGTCATCTAGCTATTTCTGGAAGGTGATCATTGTAAACAAATGTTTGATTGGAATGGGTATATATACATCAAATCTCCAGCAATAAAAGTTCTCACCACATTGTAATATATTTAGAGAAGAATGAAGCACAAGCCATGGGTGATGGAAGAATTCCAGGATCACTCTTTCTTCTGTCTTCCTCTTTCAGCATTGGTTCTTTTTCATCTCCTGCTTTCTTCATTCCGTCTGGTGAATCTGCATCATCAGTCAGGTATACAATACTCCCAGCTACTGTCATCTTCTCACTGAGCATTTCTAGGTCATCCATCCTAGAACCCAGTTTCAAAATTGACATGCTATGACATATTTTCATTACAATTGTCCTACACAAAGACCCTACACTAAGACCCTTGATCTACCAGTCATTAGTTAAGACAGGGAGTCCACATATTGAATATGTTTTTGTTTTAATTATTTTGAAGAGTTTGATCTTCTGTGCATTGCAGTGACATATGTTTTTGTCAATATTCTTAAATTTAGAAAAAGACACTGACAATTAAAGAATAATTGATCTTGCCCTGTTACGATGGATGTCATGAGACTTATGAAGCAGAAAGAACATTCCTGACAACCTTACAGATGAGGTCTTTGTTTGATTAGCAGTGTAAACTCCATTCCTTCAATTTCAGCATGATTTAAACGTTTCGTTTCTTCGTCTATAATTTGGGATTTAGTCTTTTATAGTTATTACTTCTCCTTTAGCAAGTTTATGATTGAATACAACTGAATTTGCTGGATATAAATCTGATCTATGTCTTCCGTGACAACCAAAGGTTATTCACTACTCAGGCGACAACTGAACAAAAGGAGATAGTGAATAATTAATCCTACCGTGTATGTTCATCTATCATTTTTCTTTTATTTCTTGAAATAAAAATAGTGGATTTTTCAGCCAATTGAGCTCAGTATCTGTTTGCACACTCCTTTACTAGACTTCAAGGAACCAGGACTGATATTTTCCGAGGTTGAAAGTTAATAACCTTGATTCAGATGTTTGAAATGCACGCTCAAAACATTCGGTGAAGTAGCTTGTCCATATTCTGCAAGTTATGTAGTTTACCAACTAAAACCTTCCCCTCGAGAACAAGAGCTAGTAACTGACTAACCTTTATTCTTGTCTGCCGTACACAACCTTCTCAACTATTTTGAAAACCTGTTTCAAAAAAATTGGAATGCTGCAGATGTCATTTGACATCAAGTGAAACAAATGTAAGCGCTGCATTACCCGAGGGTTTTAGGGTTGCCAGCGGTTACACGCGTTTTGTTATCACGCAATATTCAGTGGATCACAAACTTCTTTCAGTCCTGGAGCTGGTACATGCTCTCTAGGGAATATACAGTTTATATTATCATAGTGTATTTATGCGATAAGCTGATTCATACACAAATTTCGTTTAGTTTTTACTTAGGAACTACTGGAGAACAGACGGTTAGTGCAGCATGGGTGCTGCACTAACTACAGACGTAACATGCTAAATCACACCATCCTTTTCCATCTTTAGCAAGGTGTGTTCCACTTTTGACTGCAAAGCATAAGAAACTGGTTGAGCTTTGTGAAATTTGGCCCCATTACTTTCACTTCATACGAAAGGCTCACCAGTGTAACATCCGAGCTCGGGCTTAAATATGTCATCATACTACTGCAGAACAGACTCCAAGGAAAGGTTTCCTTGAGGTGCAGAAGCAAAGGGTGTTGTAGAAAGTATGGTGCCAGTATGATTCAACCCTGGCAAGTTTTCCAATCAATTTTTATGTCCATGAGCCAGTTCTGTCCAAACAAAGTAAAGATACCGCTTGTACCACTAGCAATGGCAGGGAGTGTTGTAATCCTAAATTCTCTACATCCACAAAGGCCTCCCCTAAAGGACGTAAAGTTTTACCTGTATAGGTAGACAGCACCACATTGGTTGGCTTCATTTCAACATCAGGACAAATCTCTTTGAAGAAATTTATTGGTGCCAGAGATAGAGCACATCCAGTGTCTAACTGCATAAAACAATCATTGTTGTTAATTTTTAACGGAACAGAAATTTCTGACCTGGATATCGCATTCACGTCATATACCACATTCGATTTCGTCTTCTACAGACAACGGTTCTTTGAGTAACTTCTCATTATTCACAGCATTTACTCCATTCTTCTTGCAAGCACGAGCAATACGTCCTCTTGTGTTACAGCTGCGACAAACAACATTTCTAAATTTACATTTGGGTCTCATGTTTTCAGAATTTCCATATAAAAACAATAATACAAATTCGACTGGTGAGGCCCGGGCGAAGTTGGACGAGCACTTCGGCGTAACGGAGGAGGAGGAACCCGAGAATTTCCACCAGGGGATGGCGAATCAGTATAATTCTTGGAACTAGCGGGCGGATTATTGGAAACGGAATTTACAGGTTGGAGCAATTATGGATGAACTTTTACGCTCTCCTTCGCCGCAGTTTCACCCGCAATAGCCACTTTCAAAGCTTCCTGGAACGTGCGATCTTCGCTTAAGAGCTTCTAAGGGGTTTCTGGATTTCGAATACCGCTTATAAACTGGTCTCGAAGAGATTGGTCTAGGTATTCCCCCGAAATTAAAAGTTGATGCCAGTTGTCTTAGGCGAGCGCTGTAAACAGAGACGCTTCAGTTTTCTTCTTGACAGCAGCGATGAAATCTATAAGATTATGCGACCTTCAGTCGTTTAAGTTTAAAATGGTGTTGTAGTAACTCACATAACTGCTCGAACGTTTTGTCTTTCGGATTTGCCGGTGTCATGGCGGATTTGGACCCCCTACGGATTTGGACCCAAACCAAACTTTCCTTTTAAGCATCCTTTGTATCATATTTGGTAACTAATTCTATTTGCAAGCTTTTTTGTCGATGTTCTTTTCAATCACAACACAACATTTCCTCAATAAAGGTAAAAAAAAAACAACAGTCATTTCGTTCCAATTCTACCGCATTCATTGTAGCGAGTCGAACTGTATACGCAAGAATTAGATGTGAACAAACTACTGCATTCGAACTATTGAAATTGTTGCAATAAATCTTTGCTTCTTCTGATGCGAATCAACATTGGTACGAAACGTCATAACAATAGTGGAGACTATTGCGTCCAGTCACAAAAATAACTCAGTCTGATTTTCTAAAATAATAACGTTAAACGTTTAACGTTTAAACGTTAATAACGTTTTTGAACAAGAACGAAGAAACTACTCATATTACAAGTCTTTCGTAAAGCCTATGATGAGTAAAAATGTTTCTTTTCTGAACTATTGGAACTCTCAGCTTATTTTCAGATGCAAATCAACGTTAATGTCAACGTCTTAACAAAAGTGGAGACTATTACATCGAACTCAATCTTATTTTCTAATTTTAACGATCATTAACTGTTGAGGGATCCGAAAGACGTCTAGAGTCTGGCAATCTGCAGACAATGCAAAGCCACTCGTCCTCCGAGGCAGTCTTAAATCCCTCGCACTGTACCATGTCGTCCCAACACTCGGGCATTGAACAATGACAAAATAAATTAGTGTCACAAGTTTGTTTCTTATTGAATCTAACGGTGTTCGACTATCGCGGAAAAGGTTCAAAAACGACCTCTCTCCAGACATTAAACTAAATTCTTGTCCATTTTCCCTTGGTCAAAAGAAACATCCGACGGAATGCCAGTTCGTATGCATTAACGATACGCATGTTTTGAATTGAAAACATACTTTAGTACGCTCTGGAACGTAAAGTATCATCCATTTTTATTAGAACGTTAAGGATGATGTTTTCACTCAGTTTTGTTAGGGGGGTCCAAATCCGCGGAGGGGGTCAAATCCGCTGGGACACCGGACTGCACAAATCACGAAGGATTGTAAGATTGTAAGTCTTCCAGCCAATTACTGAAATCAATACGGCGACCTCTTTATCTTCCGCCGCTGCGGTGATTGCCGCGGATGCATCGATAGGAACAATTCCAATTTTATTAGCAACAAAGAACTGATCGAGTCTTTCTGCATAAACTGTAAAAGTCTCGGCCGAAGGGTCAAACTCCCTAAAAGCACCCAACAACTCCGAAGCCATGATGGCGGCGGCAAAGACCACGTGCGCGAATACACGAAACCGCAAAGCAATGCTAGAAGGAATCTTACGTTGTACAAGTGACCCAGGAAGTAAACGACATAGAACCTATCCCATCCTCATCGCCAAATGTTGTATCCGAGTAATAATGACAAATGCATGAACTACGAAACACAACTTCGTTATTTCTGCCTTCTAGTTGCACGTGCGTATATCAACTCAATAACGTGACAAAACCTCATTATGTAACCCATAGTTCGATTGTAAGGAAATATGCAGATCAGCTGCGGAAATACAAAACCACCAAATTCTTCAGAAAGGCGATTTGATATGAGTCTGAAAATTTCATAAAAAGTAAACTCATTCCGTCCTATTCCATCCACTAACATTAATTTGCACTTTTCCCATTTCATTTGCACTGAAAGGGAAGGTTCTACCCACAGTGTACAAGCTAAGGGTATGTCTATGCAGATATGTATGTTGGGGAGCGATTTATACGACTTACTGTGAAAGATCAAGCTATACTTTGGAACGATTTTACTTACTAGAGCCTTATCATGAAAGGAACTGTTAGGCTAACAAATAAATATCCATGCGTGCGTCATAATTAAGTTCATAATTACATTCCATGCGTGTAGGTACGAGGATTTTTGTCAGCATATAATATGCTGAACGATTGCTCGTAGAATAAGCTGCTGTATCAGTTAAAATGCTTTCATAGAACTGGTGAGAAATAGCTAATTCAATGATAGCCAACGAGAGAATCTGCAAAACAGATTCTCATTTTGGTATAAAGAAGTAAATTGAATTGATCCAACCGAGAAATAGCTAATTTAATAACAGCCAACTAGAGAATCTGTACAACAGATTCTCATTTTGGTATAAAGAGGTAAATTGAATTGATCCAACCGGAAAAAAGGTGCATTATATTGTCTCCTCATGATTTAACTGATTTTTTAATTTTTTATGTTTATGGCCAACCAACATGTAACTTGGCGTTGAAGTCGAGATCATGTCCTGAGACTTCCTTCCTGGAATGATATCATTAGCCGCGCTGATGCATGGTAATGACGAGAAGACTCGAGTACCTGACACAGCTAACTTGCTGACATGGTGGTGTTTGTTTGTTCTTGAAATTAATACCAACTGAAACATTACTAAAAATGCCCACGTTTGCCGGTGAATTTCTTAGTGCGCGGCTGTCTAACTCAATGGAATCATGTCCAGGTGCGTATTTGATGTCAAGGAATTTCAAGAAAAGCATTCGATATTTAGGAATTCTGAAGCCGTAAACCAGCGGATTCACCGCAGAGTTTCCAAAATGGAGAAGCTTGGTTAGGTAGAATATTCTCCACGAGAAACAGTAGTGTCTGCAGAAGTCAAGTACAACACCCACAATGAAAAAATGGCAACCAGGCAATGACAAATAAACTGACGACAATAAATAAGGTCAAGGATATCTTCGAAGTCGAGTCGTAGGTTTTACTTATCCCAAATCGTACTTTTAATCAGATTGTAGTGTACCTTACGGAGATCGTTAGCAAAGGTAACAAGAAAAAAAGATTGATTAAATAGAAACGAAATTCAATAGACATTTTGCTGACAGGTAAAAAGAAAGAACTTGAGACGAGAGCTGAAGTGATCTAAATTGTCAATGACAACAGGAGATACAGAAGCTGTAAAGCTTGACGATGTCTCCTCGGGTAAACTGCTGCAAAGAACCTTTCAATGCTTATCGCAGTCAAATGAAAAATGGAGTTCAAAGCGGCAAAAACATCTAAGGCGTCGTAAATTGAATTAAGCTGAATATTTTCCAAAGAGTTATTACTTTCTTTCGAACTCAAGAACAACATGTACATCCACATTGGTATAGATATCAACCCAACGAGTACATCAGCAACAGCCAAACCAGCAACAAAGAATATCACGTGGTAACGCAGCTATGAAGACACCACAACAGACGCAAGAAGTAACATATTACCAAATACAGCAGCAACGGCAACCAAACCACATGGCACGCACCAGTCCCCAAGCTCACCAACTGATAATTCGGTCGACCATGGATCCGAAGAAAAGTTTTCATCAGAAAGGTTTGCTGAAGCAGTGGGATGCATGGAGCGTCTGGCTCAAACACTGTTAAAATATTAGATACATCAGGTCTTTCACCGACGGTTTAAAAATTAACTAAGCCTCATCATCTACTTGGGTTTCAAGGTCGTACAAAACCATCATTTTTTCATGTATGGATAATTTTCTTCTTAAGGCTAAAACGTCTCTGTGCACTGGTTTCTTTTAGAATCACGGTGCGTAGCAAATTATTTGATTTCAGAATAACGCTGAGTAGTGAGTTCTCCCTATAAAATTTTACAACTCTTGATATGTAGAGGCCGATTCTCCGTGCTTGTACCAGGCTGTGAAGTTTCCACTCATGGTGAGAGGCAATTAATAAGTTTTAAAAATAATGGTCATTAAACTGCGATGTTGTTTTCAGTCAGCTCTCATTGATGCATTTCCAATTATGTATGGGTTTTCTAGCAAAATCTATCTATCAGAGCCTATTAGTTGAGTCACGTACTAACTTAGAAAGTATTAAGGAAATAAAAGCTCTAAATAGTAGCTAACAACACTCCATCTAACAACACAACGGTAGAAGTTTTGGTGACAGAAACTGAAAGAACAGTTTGACTATAGAACAATGATGTCTTCTCCTGATGAGCATGTTGAAAAATTCACTTCAAGATTCTGATAGATAAAGCAACGGCTCGCACCTTCTAATTTCTTTTCAGGGACCTCACCCACTAATCCTATGTGATTCCATTCCAGAAATGCTGCCTTTTTTTGCGAATACCCCTGTTCTTGTAATAAGTTTTGAAGTTGTCATTACTCTGTATTCCGCTGGTCAGAAAATGTTCATATGAATAGAGGGAGTAAGTTTTTAAAGAAATTGAGGTGCTGCGTCGGTGGGGGGGAGGTATAATGAGATTATTTAGTTTTATCAACCAGTTGATCATGTAAATTGACCACCGTAAAGGGTTTCTAAAGCTGACTTTTAAAGTGTTAGCTCTTAGTAAGAGCGAATAGAGGAATTGTGGGTTTTGAGCGGTTTATTTACAGAGATTGAGAAATGCTATCGATGGGACTATGGTAACGTGTAAAACACAAAAATAAATGCTTATTCCTTGAACCTGCGCACAACTGACGTACCTATAGTGGATTGGAGTCATGTCGGGAAGGGGCCTGACTGGCATGAATTTCGAAGTCATTTTGATTCCTACCAGCAAACTATACAAGACTTAGAGTTGGTGTTATCAAATCAGATTTCCTAGTTGTGTATTCAGAGGCTAGAACATAATTGTATTTTCTCTAGCTCTTCAGGATACGATACTGCCACATCTGATGGTCATTTTGATGTCATCTTCTATTGAGAATTGTTCTAGACGTTAACTAGGAATTCATTTTCAATCTCATTTCCTTTTTTCTATGCTTTCTCCACGCTCAAGCGGTTTCTATTTAGGACAGAATCCAATTCAGCACAATAAAAACTACTCCTCAGTGCTTCTGGCACAGCATATCATAGGGGCGTAGCCAGGATTTTTCAAAGGGGGTCACACTTTGATACTCACCAGTTTTCGCCACCAGGAAATTGAAGGTTGTTTTCTTAAAAAGAGACTTACGAAGGGGGTTCATGGGCATTCGAGAACCTCCGCTTAGCTACGACCTTGGGTCACATTTCGAACGTTAAATGAGCAGTTTCTGAGATAGCTTTGCATTTACTATTTGTATCCAAAAATTGAGTGTAACTGAAAGGAATTACAAATGCAAACGCGAAAGAAATCGTAGTAAGAAGAGGATGTCATTGATTTACTTAACTGACTTTTCCAATCAGTTATCCCCTAAATTGTCCTCTGTGACTTTGGGCGCGAGGGTTTTATAGGAAACGCAAGAATTGAAGAAAAATAAATATCTACTTTCTTACGAAGAATTTCATAGGGAATCGACAAGAGTGAGCTCTATCCTTTGAAGGATCTGTAGATCTCAACATGTTTCTTACGTTTTTTTATGAATTTTTTTATGACCCGCATGATTCCGTATGCTTTGAGGCAATCAGCTTTTAGATCGAGTGCAATCATTTACGCTTAAAAAATGACAATAAAAGAAACAAACACAGACATATTCTTTCGACATTCATCAAGATTCAAATTAAAATTTCTTTGGGATCTCATTGAACTTTCTGAGCATGATATTGTATAGACCTACACCTGACTCTTCGCAGCAAATCACTGGTAAATTCCCTTTCAGCAAGAGCTAAGAGAGGATAACCCTTTCTTGGTCCTTACTATAACACCCCTGAGCCGGATACCGCGAGGGCTCTCTGGCGATGTAACCGTTCATTTTACATATGTAACATACCTTGAGGAGAGAAAATTGTATCGTTTTACAAAGCTTAGAGCACCATCTGAGAAGCCAAAGCGTTTGGCATCTTCTCACTGTCGCATTCAAAGTGATTGCACTCTCCATGAAATATGACAAAATAAACTGAATGTCGTTTTTGCCTGTCTCACCGTGAGATTCTAATTTTTTTTTTTAAATCAAATGACATTCGTAAAATTAAAAAAAATTCAATCAAGTTAATTGTAAACACAAATCCTTTCTCCGCTTAGGTTCACAATAGAAATCCGGTGCCGACAAAGCCTGTGATGAGATTATTTTGCAAAGATAATCAATTTTATAAAAATACTGCCATGGGAAAATTTATTATGAAATTGAAAACGATTCACAACTGCTTTCATTTTTACCAATGTGACTCCTTTTTTATTGAATCAAGGCACATCTCGTCTAACAAAGTGTGTTGGTGTAATACTAGAAAAGGATATTTTCTATGCAAATCACACTTCTCAGCGGCAATTTAATTAAAAAAAGGCTAACTGATACGAAAGACGATAAAAATGATGGCGCATTTAACATTTTAGAAGAGGACAATTTAAGGAAAATAGACGCCCTCACCCCCCCTACGGACGCCCTCACCCCACCACGCTATTCTGCCAGTGGTTTTATGCCAAACCATCTAGAAAAGCATGTTGATCTGAAAAAAAGGAGGATTAAACGACATCAAACCCTGATTGATACAGATAATCAGATTTAGATTGACAAAAACTTAAGCAGATCCGTTAGAATGCGAGACTACGCGGCGAGATTATTGAACTCTAATGTGACTGAACTTTTGAGTAAATCGCAGGGCTCACAATCGATCAAACGTGATTTAAACTTGAGGACATAAGAAAATATCTTAGGAATCAAATAAAACTGACCATAATGATTACCTTCACATACCTCATTGCATTGGCATGACGTGGATAAAGAAATAACTACTAACATGCCAATGATCATTACCACCTCGTTTCTGTTTTACATGCTGGTTCATCTAATGCGAAAATTACTGAAAGCCGATTTGCTGCAAAAGAGACTCCTGTTTTTCATAATCACGAGGGCTCTTAATGGTAAACAAAACGATATGTTTATTTTATCCTGATCGGCTGAGAGTGCTGGTCTCCGCCATGAGTTGGTTCTCACTCAAAAAAAGCTTTGAAAAAAGGATGAAAAACACAAAGCATCCAAGCCTCAGATTCTTTGGAATAAATATACTATTTCAGATGGCTTGTTGTCTATAACTGCTCGGTGTCAGACCATTTGAAGCAACATATGGTAGGGGTCATCACAAAAGGCGCAATGATATGCAGGTCCTTTTATACGCATTTACAGCTGACGGACCGAGCTGACTCCCATTGAAATACTTCCGATGTCGTTAAAGGTTAGCTAGAAAGAAGAACGACAAACAGCGGTTGTGGTTGCCTGACCACTGATATTTTTTTCGTGGCCCGCTTTATCGCTCTTTTCCACTGACCAAGGCTACAGGCTAAGCTTTTCACGCTTTTCCACGTACAAATCGCCAGGCATATGGAAAGCATTTGAAAAGGATATGGAAAATGACATCCCTTGAAAAAAGTGTTTTAAGATGAAAAACTAGTTAAAAAATTGAAGCCAGCAGAAAAGAACCTTCGACTTACATATGCGGCCTATGGCCCATACTATTGACGTTTTGTGATTCAAGACTATGGCTGGAGTCAAGTGAAAGATGGCCAAGATTTTAGTTTTATTTACTAGTAAACTTAACCCTTTTGATCTTATCAATGATGTCACATGTTTTGCTTTTAGCCAATGAGCGAGCCTTCCTGAATTATCCCTTCTGAGGAGGGGATAAGGATAAATTGCTCTATATGCAGAGCGTGATCTTGGTTTTGAGTTAAAGTATTAATGACAATTTGTGAGGCTAAGTGTCATCCAATCGAGTTCTTTTATTCCTGAGGTGTTTAAGAGAAGTAGTATTTTTCTTGCTCTTGAATTAGTATAAGATTTGTTCCAAAGTTCACGGCACAATCATTAATTTACTCAACTACCGTCGGAAATTTAGTGGGTAGATGGTCTTGGTTAATTACCATGATAATCATCGCTTTCAAAAAAGTCCGTGAAAGTGCCTTTAATTTGTAATTTGTTATGGCTGTTAACATGAAAACTTGAATAATTTCCATTCTAAGACTTTAAATTGCTTTTAAGGGCCCGAGAATGGAGTGAAATGAAAATACTACAAAATACTTACGGTGTTCATCTTGGGGTAGCCGGCATAGATCAGCTCGGATATTCAGAGAGACTTGATGTTGATGGCTCATGCTTAAAGACCTTATGAAACTGTAGCTGAATCTGCCGGTTTAATCTTAATAGAAAGGGTCACAATCATGAACTAAACTTCAAGTCCGTATAAGAAAGGGGCGAAAAATATGAGTCTGTGTTGCTCATGCTTTATAACGGA